GAATCGTCACTCTATTGGACAACCCATAAGTGCCGGACCAATGGTTCCGATGTATCATTATTTTCAACACCATTTCAAATTGAAATCAAATTTACAGAAATACAATCAATCGATGATTTACGACCAATACTTTACATGAAAGTCTTGTCGTTTGACTACTGGAATCGTTTGATTGGTGAAAGTTTTGGTTTTGCCGAACTACCCGTCAAACCCGGAAGACATAATCTTGTGGTTAGCACTTGGAAACCATATATTGGCGATCGAGTGCAGCGATTGAAAGAGTTTTTCATCGGTTGTACACCTGTTGTCAATAATCTTCATAAGGATTTTACTAATAAATTGGTAAAACTTTTTTGTTTTGTTTGTTTGTTTGATTCTCATTGCAATCAATTGTTATCATTAAATATAACTCATGAGTTATTGGCATTGCAATCAATTATAATTATTATTATCCCAAACAAACAGAATCGTTGTACCAATAATTATGGCTTAGAGTCTCAATCGAGCGGTTCCCTTGTCGTTGACATTGATGTTGTCATTCAAAACCAGTAATTATTATTTATTTAAAATTATTTATTTAAAAAAAAAAAAGATTTATAATGCATTTTAATTGTCCAATTAGTAACATTATATATCACCTTCAAATAATTATTGCATATAAAATTAGCTAGATAATATCAAAATAAAAAAACATTAACATTAATATATTTATAGACCGTTTACCGTAATTGCATTTAGATTATACGGTTACCGTATATATTCCCACTACTTTAGTAATAGTAATATATAAATAAAATATATAAATGTTTTGATTTTCTAATTAATTTGTAAAAATTAATTGAATATTATCTTATATATATATAAATACATATACAACTATAACAAATTTATATAATAATAATAATGGATTGTGTGATAGTTTTATTACGATTTTTAATTTAAGATTTATTTAGGCCAAACTTATAGCTACCAGAAAAAAAACTTTATTTTCTTTAATTTGAAAACAAAAAAGTTTAGTATTTAACAATTTTGTAGATTAAGCTAATAATAATAATAATAATAATAATAATAAAATGTTTAGTAATTTAATACTAAAACTCAATGAAAAACATTTTCTAAATATACTGGTATTACATATACCATATCTTAGTATGTTTTTATGACTTATGTTATGTATATTTCTTAATGTTGAAATTTGATAATACAGTACAATAATAATAATAAAAATAATATTAATGATAATGTTCTCACATGACAACATATAAAGTACTGTATAATCAACTAATTAATAGCTGAAAAAAAATTATAATAAAGTATCATATTTTTATTATTATTATATTACTTTATTAATCTAACAATAATAATAATATTATAGTATAAGTTTGGATTGTAAATTATAATTTATAATTAAAAATATAGTACATTTATAAAGCTAAACTTTTTTTGTCCAATGATTTATAATAGGATCCACTTATTTAAATAAAATATGAATACAATACAAATTAATCGATATATCGTATATATTAAATGTTATTATACATAGTGTTACCATTGTGTGGACTATTAAATTGAGATAATATTTTATTATAATAATTTTTTCCTCCTCTGAAAATAAATAGATCCCCTAAAGTGATGACTAAAGACAAATATCACATCAAAAGTTCTTCATCACTGGATTCACTAAAACACAACATATTGTCTGTTGTATTGGCATTTCAACGGGCAAAGAGACGAATGGATTCAATTAGATCCGAATTAAATGATAATTACTATATTTAATGATTTTTAAAAAATAAAATAATTATTAATGTATTATTTATATTAATTTGAAAAAAATAAATATTATATAATTTACTACACTGTAAATTATCATTAAAAAACAAATAATAATAATAATAATAATAATATATCCATGTAATAAATTACAGGTAAAAAAACTAATAATTAACTTATATAATATCAGATATTTAACATACAATTTTATTATAGTCATCATATAGACTATTAACGGGAATTTTTTGGTTATTTATTTAATGAGAATTTATTATTACCGTAATATAAATTAATATATAAAACTTTTTAATAACTATATATATGTATATATATATAAAATATATATTAACTAAATCATAAAATTTTATGATTTTTTTTAATTATTAGTAAATGACTTTCATTTGAAGAAAACAAAAAAACAAAAAAAAAAGTTTTTATGAATAAATTTTATATTTAAATGGGTATAACATTATGAATCAATTTATGATACTGTATATCGTAATAATTTATTATTTAAATGATATCATATATATAACTGTAAAACTAGCGTTATTTTTGTTGTTTTTTATATATATTTTTATTTATTTTTTATTTATATATATATTTTACATACATTTTGGGCCAAAGCATAGACTCCATGGCAACCATTGGATTGTTTTGTTTACAAGTGATTTAATGTTTGATGTGTTTGTATTGATATTTATAGTAATATTAAACTCTAATAATAATAATCATTATTATAATAATAATAAATATATAATCAATATTTATATCACAAATAAAATAATAATAATAATAACACAAATTTGATTCAAAACTTATTTATATATCACTTATATATTTATATTTTTAAATGATATTATTATTATTATAATTATATTAATATACCATAAGTTGAGTGTTTGTTTGACTCGTTTTTTTTACAGACACAACAAACAAACCGATGAAATAAAAAACTAAAATTATTTAATAGTTTTATTTAATATATTATAATAAAATAATTTTTTTATTTCCTATCTTTAAGTTAAAGTGAAATTGTGTGCTAAAAGTTGTGATCAATTAATTTATTAATTATAATATTAATATAAAAAATTTTAACAAAAATTGTTTACCGATTATAATTGGTGTCAAAAATTAATTAAAAAACAATGAGCTCTTCATCGGTTGCATCGGTAAAGCCAAACAAAAAGCAGACATTTAGTAGCAGACAATCGCGCGGTCACCGCAAGGATGTGGCCATCGATAGCAAGCATCGCATCTCCGATGAAGATCTTCTCCAAAAGCCATTCATTACACCCGAAGATGTTATACGTTTGCCGACAATTGCTAAACGTTTGTTAAATTATATGATATATTATATTAAATTAATTAATTTATTGTTAAAATTTTAACACAAATTTAATTAATTTTATTTAAAAAAAAAATAGTTTTCAATAATTTTAAGACTTATGTGAGAAAAAATTTTAATAATAATATTATTTATTTATTTTATGTATACCTATAAATTATCTAGTACGGTTTATTAATTTCTATTTTTTAGTAATATAAATTACTGCAAAATAAAGTTAAATATTGTTTTTTTTTAAATATAAAAAATATATATTACCGTAATTAAGATTTCTATACAATTTTTGATAATTATATAAAATAATTGTTTAGTTATTTTATAATTAAATTGATTTCAAATGACTATCTAAAGTTTATTTTATCTAAATTATTAAATATTAGTTTTTTTTATTAATTTTAAATATCTTGAAAGTCTAGTTAATCATTTGAAATAATTTATAATTTAGGTTTTTTAATAAGTTTGTAACAGAGTTTAAAAAAAATAATATTTTTTACCGGTAATACTAACTACTGGTATTTAATTATTATAATAAAAGTTATCTTTAATTTTTGGTTACAAAGCATGAAGTTATTGACTATTAGATTATTATTTTTTTTCTCTCTAAAATTTAGTAAATATTTTAAAAAGTATCATTTAAACCAAAAAATTTTATATAAATATTTATATTGAAGACACACTGCCATTGACAATACTATAAGATACTAGACTAGACATAAATTTATTATAATTTAGGCACAGCTACGAACTTTTGCAATTAACTAAAATTTGTTGATATTTTTCTATATAAAATTATTATTATTTAAAAAAACATTAAAATAATTTGACAAAATTATCGGTTTTAATACCCGGTTTAAAAAAAATTCCCGAATATTTCCGTAATATTCTACAGATTACTTGTGTCCGCCCGAAGCAAACGTCTACGATATCGAGTTTACAAGATTTAAGATCAGAGATATGGAAACGGGATTAATATTATTCGAGATCGTAAAGCCGACCGCAACCGATCCAGACGGTGATGATGGCCACGATTTGGACGATCAGCAAATGGACGCCAATTCGGGTCGATTTGTTCGCTATCAGTTCACATCGCAATTCTTGAAGCTCAAGACGGTTGGCGCTACGTATGTATCGTTTGAATTTTGAAATTTTATATATTTTTAATAGTTTTTGTCCACAATTATTGGTGGCTATTATACTCCTCTTGAGGATTTTGATGCCAATTGAAACTTTAAAACCCATTAAAATAATTAATTTTGTTGTTTGTTGTCCCCAATTAATACCTGTCCCCTACAACAAAAACAGTGTTGAGTTCCGCATCGGTGACAAACCGATCAACAGTTTTCGTATGATTGAGAAGCACTTCTATGGAGAGAAACTATTGAAGACTTTTGACTTTAATTTTGGTTTCTGTATTCCTAATAGTCATAACAGTTGTGAACATATTTATGAATTTCCTACACTTAGTACTGAATTATGTGAGAAAACATTTGAATTTTTCTAAAAAAAATTATTAATAATATTATTATTATATAATAATTTTTATTATTAGGCGAAGAGATGATCGCCAATCCATTTGAGACCCGATCCGATAGCTACTACTTTGTGGACAATAAGCTAATAATGCATAATAAGGCCGACTATGCCTACAATGGAGGACTATGAGGCTCATCGTCCAATTTATAGTTGATTACGTCCTTTAATTAATTAATTAATTAATTTACAAAAAAAAAATGAAAAGCAAATCAATTGACCAAATCATACAATTTTGAATCACACTATATATTATTATTATATGAATATACATATATTTTGAATGAGATTTTACAAAAAATTAATTTAATTGATAAAAAAATAACAAAACAATTTCATCTATTTAAGTATTTTTTTTTTAATTAGCAATTTGTTTTTGTTATTTAGTTTTCTTTTCAAATAGTTTATTGACATTGTTATCAATAATTAGTATTTATAATTAGTTATTTTTTTGTTAGATTTTTATTTAGAAATTATATATATATATATAAATACATATACCTGTATTATTAGTGAAAAATTAGTTTTATTGTAATGTCAACATTTTTTATAGTCTATGTTGAATTTAAATACTCATTTTAAACTTTTTTAAAAGTTTTAATCTATGTATGTTATGATAAACAAAAAATTTAATTTATAAATTTATAAACAAAAATAACTTATGCTTTAGGAATCATTGAGAGAGAGAGAGAGAGAGAGAAAGAGAGTAAAAACCCCCGTCAATAATATGGTTGCATACTATTTTTTAATATACAAAAATAATGATTAATAAATTTTGAGGGGGTGTGAAATTTGCAAAAAAAAACAAAAATTTACATTTGTCAAATTAAAAAAAAACATGTCCAGTAGATATAAACAAAACAAAAAATACATATATTTAACTGATTTTACTCAATTTTAAAAAAACCCTTTTACTTAAAAAAAAAAAATTGTTTTTTATACTTAAAAAAACATGCAAATTTCACTAACAATAATTATTTTATTATATCAACAAAAATAACTTAACTTAAAAAAAAAAAGTTTTGCAACATTATTGTACCGGTTTTTACCGATGCCTATTAATTTATATGATATAATTTATATTTTAATTATATACATATATATATAATATTAATATAAGCATATAAAAAATATATACAGTATATAAATTATATAATTATATTTAGATTTATTATAGATTTAATAATAAATAAGCAAAAAAGAGGATAATTTTTTGATGAATGATGAAACGATGCCATAGAAAAAGTTATGTTAATATATTATGGCATTACAATGGTTAGTGGTTAAATATATTGAAAAAAATTGTATAGTTTAAATCATAATTTATTAATATATATATATATTATATATAATGGTTGCTAATTTATTGTATGTTAACAATTAATTAATAATTTAACATTTAATATTGTAGTAACAATTGAAAGACTGAAAAAATATAACTTTTTATTATTATTATTATTTATAATATTTATTTAACAACAAAAAAATCATAAAAATAACATCATGTATAATATATGATGTTTCTGTATAATCTAGATTTACAAACATCTAAAACATTTACGTTTTATCTAAAAAATAAAATAAAATAAACAAAGTCAAACAAATATACATAATATTTTATCAAGTATAATTTTTATTTAGATTAAAACATGTGTGTTTGTGTGTGTGTGTGCTTGCACAATTTATTACATAGGGTTTAATAATAAATTATTAAACTATTAAAATACATTAACAACAACAATTAAATTATTATTAACAGTCGATTATAACTATAGTAATTTTATTTTATAATTACCTAACCTAATTAGTCATTGTATTGTTTAATAAAAACATGTTAATATAATTTATATATAAGTTATTTTTCAATTGTCTAAAAAATTCATTTATCATTATTAACTAATTTTTGTTGTTGTTGTTGATGACTGTTTAATTTTTAAAATCAAAATTTACAAATGTTAAAATAATTTTCATGTTTATGTATTATTATTATTATAAGATTAAAATTTTAAAAATTTATATATAATAATTTGATTATCTTATTAAATTTAATTAATGTTTGTATAAGTTATATATATTTACAACAAATAATACAGTATATATACTGTGCGTATATATATATATATATATATATAACAATCTTGATTAAATAGTTTAAATAAAAATTAAAATCATAATATTAGTCAACAAATCAAACAAACAATAATATTTACAAATTATACTGTATGTGTATTACTGGTATAAATTAATATATATATAAATTATATATATATATATATTGCCTGAGACCAAATGATCAATTAATAATAATTTAATAATAATAATTATTATTATTATAATTATTAATATAATAATATCACATAAAAATATTTCAATACAATTTTCAATAGTATTAGGGAATGCATATTTAATATTTTTTGAGTTACCGCAACTAAAAAAAATTAAATTATATTATTATTTGAAAAATAAATATTAAATCAAACGATAATAAGACCCCCTTTTTTTGTTTGTTAGTTTAATATGGGATCTGATTTTGATAGTATTGAATCATATCGTAAGTTCGCGTCCGGAAGTTGAGGAATGAGTCGCGAATTATTTTCAACATATAAGCCGACGCCTCCTTCTCGCTGGCGTTCGGCGCAAATCGGGCTCTCAATTGTTTGACTGTTTGTCCTCTAAAACATGGTAGACCAGTGTCCAGCATGAGCGACACCAACGTAACTATGGGCTCCCGATAGGGCCGGACAGCCAGATAGGCCTGAACGCATAGATCCTGGAACCATTTGAATGTGGGCGCCTCCATTTTACCGCCCATTACTAATACCATTTCGTCGGTTAGCTTAATGTCCGGCTCGAAGCCCCAGTTGCCGCCCGGACTGCTCTCAAACATGAATCCAAAATCTATAAATTTTTATAAGTTTTTAAAAAATTATTGTTATTAAAGATCTTTTTTTGGAGGAAAGTGATGTCAAACCTATATGAATGATGTGTCCGTCTCTATCGATCATAATGTTTCCATTGTGTCTGTCCTTAATCTGAAGCAAAAATCCGACTACACTATAGGCGGCCATACTTTTGACAAAATTTCTTCGGGCTTCTTGAAAACGATTGGAAGATTCGTCGCCATAGGTCTTCAGAAAGTAATCGTAAAGTGATATATCTGTCTGACGTCCCAATTGGTCGCGCGATTTAGCGTCAGGAATGCATTCAATGACTCCGCACTAAACAAAAATATTAATAAATCTTACGGTAATTACCGGTACATCAAAAAACAGAGATGTAGATGACTTACTCCGGGTGAGGTAGCGATCACTTTATATGGAAACAAGAAGACATCGATTCCAACTTTTTTGAATATATTTTTAAATAAACTGATTATCTGAAGGGCTAACATGTCCTGTAAAAACAAAATATAAGTAACCGATAATCACAACAAAAAAAACGGATAACCCATAGTGTGTTGATGTCTATGGTCTTACCTGTCGAACATCGTCGCCAACTTTAAAGATGGCCGCCTGCCACATCTCCACACCCATCGATAACCTATGATTGCTCTTATTCTGCGAATCCGATGACATGGCCAGACGTTGAAGTTGATCGATACCGCAGTGGACAACTTTAAATCGGGCCAAAAACGGTGCTTTGGCTGCACTCTGCAATGGTATACCCTTTTCCGGATCGATATCTATGACAAGCGCTTCGGCATTCGATGGCAGATAACAACCCAACTGAACCTTTATCTTTCTCAGGGCTTTCAGTAGCGCTTCTTTACGTTCCTTTCCTTTCGGATAATTACGTATATCACCGGAAATGGCAGTTATTTTGCCGAAAAAATCAAACTCTCTTTCGTAGAACTCTTTGGCCGGTCCGGACAGCGAGTCGACTATTGTTTTGGTTATGTGCTCAAGAAGTTCATATAAATCGGCTATTTTTTTCAGGAAAGTATATTTTGGGGTTAAATTTGAATTAACAAAAATAATAATAATGTATCAGTAAATTGATTGTTAGTGTACTCACGATCGGGCTCTTTCTCGTCCTCATCTCTGTACATATTTGTCTTCATATTCCATATCAATTGGTGGGCTAATAGTTGGGATGTTGTGGCCGACCATCGGATAAATTGCGATATATATCCCATCTAAAAGATTTTAATCCATAATCAATTAGTCAGTTATACCAACCCAGCAATTAAAACAAAAATGTTTGTCAATAATTATTAGACACAAACAAATGACATACACTATCATATCGGACCGCTTGGACCAGTTGTGGAATACAAAACATGATAACATTCTGTTAAATAATAATAATAATTAATAATTTTAAAAATTTAACAATTTATAAATAAATAAAAATTAATTTACCGGATCATATGACGCTAAATTTCGTATTGCATATTGAGCTGTAATCGGATGGGGCGGGTATTGTCTGGAAAAGTATGACAGTGCCTGAATCGGTGATACGGTAGCCCATGTCAGCATATATGTCAGCTAATAATAGCACAATTTTTGACAATATAATCAATATATTGTATATTTATATATATATATATATAATTAATGGGTAATTAATTTTGCAATAATATACAGCACAACATACCTCTGGAGAGTCGTGTAAAATACTATCTGAAGTAACCAAATACTGAAGGGCTTCCGGTATGTGACAAACAGCTATCGGATTCAATCGTACTAAACGTGATATCTCTTCTTTGATTTCATCGGAATTTTTAAATCTATTTTTTTTTAAAATTATTTGTTTTCATCGTTTATATAATATGTTATTACAGGTAATTATTAATCAATAAACTAAAAAATATATTAATTTTTAAAAAATTTGAGATATAGTTTACTTTATAAGTTGTAAAAAATATATAGTATATATTTTTAAAAAAATAATTTTAAAAATCTTGAAACAAATAATTTTTTCAGTAATCATAAATTAATATAAATTTTATAGCCCTATATATGTATCCGTATATCATATACCCGTAAAATATAATATAAATGTCGGTTACATTACCTGCACGGAAGATACACGGCTAGTGTCGGCGATATATCCCACGCCAGACGAGCCGTCTCTTTCCACGTTCGTTCAGTGATGGGTTGGTTTCGCCACTTAGATATTGTTTCCTCGCCAGGAATGGCAGCCTCGGGAGCACCGGTTGGGTTATACCACGTCATCAGCAATTCAATCTCAATGGCTAACAAACTTAATATCAAATTTCTTTTCCTAACGTAATCCTTAACAAAATAGTCGACAAATATAGAATTTTCGCGCATTTTTGTCGACTGCGAGCCTTTGAAACCCGAAGATCTCTTGGATATTGTCGACATATTACTATTGAGCGGAACCGTATTGATCCAACCGGTAGGCGTATTAATGCGACTCTGGTTAAACTCGGTGCTCGACCGTAGATCGGGATTCAGTGTTGTCAGTGTCAACGATTGGGTGGGATTTTCCGGCCAAATACCATCGTTCAGAAACGATGACTTCAAATATTTTTTATCCGAATGAAGACTTTGCCAAAATCGGATCAACGATATTATATCTTCTCTCAGATCGGAACCCTTTTGCGATGCAATAAGTTGTGGTCCACTAAAAGTATATCAAAGGTATAGATAAATAATATATTATTATTTGTAAAAATTACAAAATAAATTGTTTACCAAAAGTAATCGACAGCCGCCGAATAGACTCGTTCTCTTAAAACCGATTTACTAATAGATTTCGGCAAAATGTCGAACTGAACTAATGATAGTCCACAGTTGAGTAGTCGAAATCGTGAGCCAATAGTTGCTATATTTCTTGAGCTATGATGAGTTCGGCCGACAGATATATGAAGCGATCGATGCAATAGATTAGCAAATATCTCGATTTGATCCAATGAACTGTATTTTGCAATCTCTATTCGTTCGATTAAAAACTATTTGATTTAATTTTTTTAAAAAATATAAATATAGACAACAATTTTAGTTTCCTCTTATAAACCAAAATAAATTAATTTATAGTCAATTGATTTATTACTTTAACCCAAAGTCCATGACCGCCAATGTATGGAGGATTCGGCTGAAGAATAGTAGTTGGACTAGAAGTTAACGGATCCGTCTGTGGCGGGTCGGGTGCAAACAGACCTAATTTTCGATCAATAGTTCCGTTCCAAGCGGATGCCATCTCTTCAATGAACTGTTCAACAAAACAAACAATAAATAAATATCAAAGTTTCAATTCGTTTACCACAACAACAACAAGTATTATGATATAATCGGAGGAGAATTAAACTATACCTTAGATTCTAAGTCGGAACGGGCGGCCAACAACCACTTCCAACACGATATAACACTAGCTATGGTATCTTCGGAAAAGAAGAATACCGGTGCCCAACACAGTGTATGCAATAGCTTGTGATCACACGATTTGGTGGCTATAAGTAATGCCGTAATCTTATAGACACATTCTTGATGTGCTTTTACATTCATTTCAATTGATGTCAATTTTAGATCACTAATCAATTTGTCGGCCAATTTGTCTTCGCTTTGTTCGTTAGCCTTATAATTGGATAGTATTCCCGACACTTCGCCAGCAAAATGTGTCCGCAGACTCATCGATGCAATAAATTCCGAACAATTATTTTTGATAAAATTCGGTAAATTATCTAAACTGGTCACAGCAGTCGGATTCCAATTGACTGTACCGGCAAATGATGACATACAGTCCACAACCAGCGACAGTCCCGAATGTCTTTGAATACCACTAATTGCGTGATCCATATTAGCTAAATACTCTTGAAGATGAGATCGAGTGATATTTGGCGCCCATTTGGACGCCTCCTGAATAATGCCCTGACATCGAGCGCCAAAGTCTTTGACAATACTCTGGTTGAAAATAAATTTAAAAATATTAAATCCGGAACTGATTTATCTAATACCTGCACAAAATACCTCTCGGGCTTCCATAGTGTCTGTGAGTTGTATTCGGTAATTAGTATCCGGAACTAGAAGTTCAGGATTGGCTTCATTTGGATTCCATTCCAGAGCACTGGCAAGAACTTGAAGAATATTCAACATTGTCGTCAAAACTCTGCCACTCCATAAAAGATGGGGAAATTTGTCGACCAAAGCACTCAAATATTTATCGGCAACTCTTCGGATTTGTTTCTGTCGATTATTGAATTTGACTAAAAGAAAAACTGCATATTCTTCCAGTTCGTAATCACGCGATTTATTTTTAGGCTTCTTAGACATAATGCCTAAGAAAACGTTGAATACTTTGTCGGCAATAGACATAATACACTGCCAGATGCCATCCTTGTCCTTTTGGATGGTCGAGTCTTCCAAATATTGAAACATCACATCAAATGGATTCATACCGGGTATCAGATTATGGACACGAAATGTCTCTAAACGGCAAACCGATAACAGATAAGTGCACTGTGCGAATGTCAACTTATTGATTATGGGCGTCACTTCCGATGAATGATTGAGATCAACAATAATCTGATTGCGTATCTCTTGGAGTTCGAGTCCAGAAACGGCTTCATTTCTGATGGCAGAATTGAAGTGTAGTTCCGAGCGAAGATGTTCTCTCGATTTCAATAGCGGCGACTTTGATGCTATCTCTCTGACTCCTTGATACCATTCTCGTGGCCACAAATAGGTACCCGAAGTGAAACCCATGACAACACAGTAGAGCCAAAAATCGCGAAACAGTTTATGAAGTCTGAGCTTCGGATTCTGTATGTACGGCAATCGTCGCATCAATGTTGCGATTACTGGAATCAAAACACCGAGATTACCGGCACTGCTCGATGTCTTGGCAACGGCCGGACTCTTATCGTTGGCGCGTTTGCTTTCGAGACCCAACTGTACAAACAGTTCCAATAGTCGAACCAATAGATCCGTTTGTTCTGTTTGGCCATCAATACGGTTTGCAATATTCATGAAGGCGTTGATTACCGCCAGCGACACGTGTCGGTAGCGATTTTTCTCATCACAATTACTAACATTATATGAAGAACTCGATTGTATAGTAATCATTGTAAACATTTTCATCACTTCTTCGTAAACATAATGACGACAATCGCAAACGATTACCATTTCACTCAATTGTTCGACAATTAATGAGTCCAGATATGATGGCGGATGACAGAAGCGTTGCTGAAAAAATTGAAGAATCGATTCCATACATCGAGGAATATCACACAGATTACAGGCCACTCGACCCAAAGCTATAATTGTGTTCATCGATATCAAGTTGGACTCGGAATCGCTTTTCTCCGACTGATATAACCGATTAGATACCGATGCAATAGTTGCCTGAATACAGTGTGCGTCGACTTCGAGACCAGCTCTCAATGCGATGCATATGTTATCGATGGCACTCTCTCTTAGTCCTGTATAGACTTGAGTTATCTGCGAGTTTGAAGTGTTCGACAAATTTGAACCGTTTTTTAGCGGTAAGTTATTATCGGAAGACACCGTTATACTGAACTGGCCGCTCGAACTTTGAATATCGAGCTGTTGTCTACTCAGTCTGACCAATATCGGCGACGGCAATATAAGAAAATCGCGTAACGATCCAATACAGCTGCCGGCTATTGATGGAAACTTTTCGGCCAACTTTCCCAAACCGTCCAAACAGACCAATAGCAATGGCAAGTGAGCTATAACTAACCGATGGCCGTGAGATGTGTTGATTTTTTCGTTAAGACGCGTACAAAGAGCGTCGGCAGCTATTTCATCGCTTGATGACCAAACCATTAGCTCAATACAGGCAGCATTTGTCAGTACATTCAGTTTAAGACTATTATAAATTGAATTTTGTTTTTCCTGTTTATTCATTATTTCCGTCTGACCCGAAAGGAACAGACATTTTATAAATTCTTGAACTTCTGATGTAAAAGATTTTGGCAAATCTGTTGAACAATCAGTTCGTGGAAAAAATATTAAATTAATTAAAAAAATAATATTTTAATGATTACTTTATTTGATTTGATTAAATTTTTTAAAAAACAAAACAAACCCATCCTATGATATAACAACTCTTTCAGTAGATTAACAGAAACCAAATTTATTATTTCACTCAACGATTTGTACGGAAAAATATGCGTCTGATTTGTCTTTAAAATAAAAATCAATATTTATTTTAATTTAATTTAAATAAAATGTAATTACTGTATATAGTGGTAAATTAAAAAAAATATATAATTCAAACCTTATATATAGTAACAGCGATATCATCTAATGTCTGCAAAATTTCTTTGTCAAACATTTTTTTGGCCAATGAAAGCAATTTAAGCAAAAAATCTAATGAAATGTTAACCCTATTATTATGTTGTTTTTGATTGCCGTTAATCTCATTAATGTTTGACTTTGATTGTGTCAATTGTGTGGTAAAAGAGGTGCCATATTTAAAAAATAAATAACGAATTTCGTTATTCAATGTATCATTGAATTGACTGTAAGCCGATATCTGGCTCTGAAACGATGCCCGACTGGCGCCGGCAAATCCGCCGACAGATAGTCCATCGCCACCGGTCCCTTCGTGTCTATTCATGCCTGCAGTCCACGTAGCGTTTGCCGACAAACTCGAAAACGAACGGGGAATTAGTTTCTGTAAGTTAGGTAACGTTTGTTTCTTCATGATTAGACTATTGGCTAAATTTCGGGAAGAGTTGATGGAGTTGTCGGTCAAATCTTTGCTCGAATCGTATTGAGATTCGTCGGTCTTTGGCGGCATCGATGGCGGCGGAAATAATCGCAAAAATAGGGGCGTGTTTTGACTGTCATTTGGCGATCGACCCAATGCTCGACACAAACCAATATAAATGGGAACAATTGTCTCACAGAAATGTACTGAAATTTTTTTTTTAAGAAAAACAAAATCATTTAATTACTCTACCGGTAAATATATAATATTTTAAATTCAGTTTCAATTAACTCACTTTTCTGTGATATATCACCGCTAAGGACTTGTTTGGCGTCGAGTATCGAATTGGTTAGCAATTCGACACAATAGACCTGTTCGGTGATAATCTTATGACTATATTCTGGACAAAAGTAGGCGATGTCCGACAAACCGGTGTTCAAACAGAAACTAAATCTCTCGGCGATTGGAATTCCTGAAAGAAGAAGAAGAAGGAAATTATTGTCATTTGAATATCACTATTAATACCACAAAAAAAAACAAACAAATAGTTTATCATTTGTTTTGTTTGTCATCTGAAAAAAAACAAACTTACGGTCGGAATCGTGTAATTTGATTGAATCGCTGAAAACGGCATCTTTGAGACCATTCAACAAATTGATTAAATAACTTATGATAAGCTGTTTGTGCTGTCGATGTCGAGTTAGTCCATCAATAGTAATACAAATAAACAAAAAATCATACAATTAGTGGCCAATCAATCAATCAAATCACAACAACACCATCGCATCAATACCTGAAAATGTGATTCAATGAAGTATATGATAAGTGCTGTCACCGAGTCCTGTCCTCTTTGGTCAATAGCCAACTGTCCATTTAGTAATACTTGCGGACACATTGAAAACAATACGTTTAACTGTCGGTGAAAAACGAAGGGAAAAAATATTTAAAAATATAATTGTTTTTTTCAGTCAAAAAAAACCTTTTCGGCCGGCAATCCGTCGATTCTGGCCAGAGATCGGGCCAAATGCTGAACGGAATGATAGAAAAAATTGTTTTCATTGTTTATCGGCATTTTTTTTATTGTCGACTGACGGTCACAATCGGCGGTAGGTTTCGGTTACAATTGGGTTTGTTTTCAAAATCCCGATTCACCGATAAATATATTCACAATATATTTATTATTAATATATCTTTTAAAATATTAAATGATTTTAAGTGATGACTAATTTCTATCAAAAATAAATATTAATTAATAAATAAAAACAATTATTTGAAAGCTTAAGGAAAACATACAAACATTAACACTAAATATAATTATAATTATTATTATTATTGTTTGGTATTTAAATGTTTACAATGTTTTCCATTTAGTTTTAATGCTGTGATGACATCCAATAATAATATAATAATAATAATAATATATTTTACAGTATTGTATATATTGTATAAAACTATGTCATATAAAAACAGGTTATATAGCTATGTATTGAATAAAATTGTCGTATAGTTCAATGTTATGTATATGTAGGCGTCAGTGGTTCAGTGGTAGAATGCTCGCCTGCCACGCGGGCGGCCCGGGTTCGATTCCCGGCTGACGCACTTTTATTTTTTATTTTAAATAGTAAACTTTAATGTCCTATAATTTATAATCAAAAAAATATATATATACAATAATTTTTTTTTGGTTGAAAAATTACTATATTATGTTATATTTTATTATATATTATTTTTTTTATAAATATATTGTAATAAATTACTACAAATTTTATTTAATTAATTAATATTACGGGTAATACTGTAGTAATTTTTATATTTATAAAAAATTATTTATTTATTTTTTATTTTAAAGTTTAAAACCGACAGAAAAAAAACAAACAAATCATTTGGAAGTTATTCTGTTGAGTGCTTGAGCTCTTCGTTCGGTATTTTGAAATAAGACACGAATTAATTGTTTAACGTCTTGTGCGCTGAACTCGACGGCCAATATTCCGCATCCATCGGCCCATCGGTTGACTATATCTACAAGACTGGCCTACAAGTGGATGAAGAAGAAGTTAACAATAAATTAGTCTAAATATCTTTAAAAAAAACTAATAAATCATTTGAATTAATACAAACATTTAATATGAATTTCATTTCCGTTAGTTTAGACCATTTGGAGACCAAACGCATCGGATTTTCGGTGTCTAAAAACAATTGAATCTCTTTAAGCAAAAACTCGATTTCAGTACTAAGTCTGGAGGCACCGGAAGAACTGATATCGTTTTGAATTGTAATCTTATGAATCAATTCGTTGAATAAAGAATTAACAAGAGTTCCGATAGCTTTGTGGTAGACTTTTTCGGGTAAGACATCTATTAGTGCATTCTTCAAGAAGTTCAAGTGAACTAAACATTGATTCAGTATTCGACGAAACTCTTTAGCTAATTGATCGCCTAATGCCGACTTAGTGTCTTCGGTGGCCAAATCGTTGACACAGTGAGCAAATTGTTGACTTTGAACCAAATCCAAGATTATCTTTTCTTGAGATTTCATTTGTTTGAGAAACACTTGCGATCCGAGTTGTCTTAAAATTGGTCGATACGGGTCTAACAATGGCAGAGCTGAACTGTTTGATGGAAGTGTTTCAATAAAATTGGCTAAATATAGACAATTATTATGAAATATAGCGTTCTGTTGGGGAAATTCAGTGATCAGTTTCTTGTGATATATAGGACTCATATCAATAAACAACTCGACAATGTCTGCAATTGTTTGCAACAATGATTGACAACAATGTTCTGAACAGCGAATGGAAAATTGGTGAATGTCTTCGACTAGTTGTTTGAGTTCGACCACCAATTGGCTGACACGACATACAGGAAAATGATTGCCATCGCTAGTTGTCGTCTCACAAGTTCCCACTTCGACTGTTTGATGTAAATCACGACTAATAATAGTTTTGGCTTCAATCAGAAAGTCTGTACAAAGTTTTCGACTAAAATGATAACCAATATTGAGTGCAAATTCGACAAATGGTGAGTCCATATTATTTTCATCAATAAAACCAATGTCTTGAAGATAACAACGAATATCTTCGGCTGCGTCTATAAGTGTTAAATATTGTTTGATCTCGGATTCAGTTTTCGGCATCAATCGTCTCAAATAGTAATTTAATATTTGATTCAATATATCTTCAGTCCAGTGCTGACCCAATAGTTTCAACAATTGTCTGCCTTCTCTAATCTCGTTCTTATCGGTTAACAATTGGTTTAGATAATCAAAAAAAGTCTTCAACAGTGATAATGGTAATACAGATGATGATGAACCATCAGGTTTTGATTTAGTGGCTATGATTTTATTGTCTTCAAGTGATAATTGATTCACTTTTTCTTCGACAATATTTTTAACAAAATACTCGTTCAATGTTTTAATCAAATGTTTGAGTATTATCTCATACTCTGGTATTTCGATGAATGAATTGATGAAATTCTTGTAATCGTTTGATTTGAGATAATTGATTAAATTAAACTCAAAGACATACTCATCGTTAGCCACATCTTTAAATGCTTTGACGTTTGAATTAAACAACTGTTTTGTATTGTAAATCAATTCTTCTCTCTTCAGTGTCAACTCATTCTTCACTCCACTCAAGAACTGCCGCAACTCTTTGGCCGTTCCTTTCAGATCGTCGTTTGTGTCGATCTCTTGGATCAGTTGCCGATACAGTTGTCGAGCGTTGGCCATGTGTTGGACAGACATCTCGTACGAGTTGACACCAAACGACTGGTCAATTGAGTTGAGCTCTGAATACATTTCCCGAAATTGTGTGACAAAATGTGTCAATCGTTTACAGCGAACCATTCGGTCGTTACTCTGATGGCACATATCATTCAGATCGTCGATGTCGGCCATCAAATGGCTGTCGGCGTACGTCTTGAGCTGTGCCTCCAAATCGCCGCTTCTCTGCTTCAGTGTTACCAATGTCTTGTAGTTGTCGTTCAATTCATTCAAATCGATATCAAAACTGATTAACTGTTCGCTGATTTGTTTTCTGGTGTCTTCAATATCAGCCGTCAATCGTCTTCTTAGTGTATCATTTGGTTCATTGGTCTTCAAGAAGTCGACCAAATAATTGCTTAAATCAAAACACCGTTTATTTTGAATCATTTTTTTAATGTTTTTATTGACACAAAAATAATTTTTCATTCAATTTGTCATTCAATTGATTTAAACTACAATATTATCGCATAATAAGTGATTTTATTTAAAAAATTAAAAACTATTTAAAACAATTGACTAAATAATTATTATTGTTTGCAATGTGTTGTCAATAATACATATCATTAAAACACTGTTTATTGCCATTAAGTTTACAATACATTACTTTTGAATACAACTCAACAAAAAAAACATTTGAGAGACAAACCATATGACGAAATCTTATTTATTATTATTATTTAATATAGACTTTAATGTTATGTTTAAAAAAAAATAAATATTATTTCATACATGTATTTAAAGTCCATTATTATGTATTGTATGGTATGCTTAATAGTCGCATGTTTTTCAATAAAAATATTATAATAAATAAAAACTACTGATATTTACTAGCAATTGATTTATAGTTAAACTAAAATATAAATATATTTATAAAACTATTGACTAAAGTATGGTTGAGTATATATATATATATTTTAAAAATGTGCTAGCTAATTATCTAGGTTAGTTAATCTTAAGAGATATATGAAAATGATTTTAAAAAAATTATAAACACATTTTTAAAAATAATTTTTATAAATAAAAAAACTAATTTAACTAAAAAATTTAACTAATATATTATAAATTGATTTTTTATGTTGGTTGTTATTAGTGATATTTGTTTAATGATATAATAATAATAATGATAATAATAATTAGTATTATGATATTATTATTTATAATATGTTATAATTTAATGATTTATTCAAATGTTAGAGTTATCACTAGTTTTTTTTTTAAAATAATTAGTAAATTGAAAAACATTTATCATATTATTAACGATATTTGTTACTATACTGACAATTGTGAGCAATTAAAAAATCAGTTAATTAACATAAATCACAAATTGTTTAATTAAATTAAATTTTTTTTAATTCAACAAATTTCGACAAATAGTGTTATATATATATAAAATATAACTCATAAAAATATTTATTGTTATTATTATTATTATTTGCTTTTTAATTATACAATATTTTTAATATAAACAGTGATTCATTTGTAATCATTTTGTTGTTGTTTTTTGGTAATTGATTTATATTATCTTTTTTTAAAAAAAATCGTTAAACATATGTAAGCATCACTTTGACCAACAATTTCTCTTCAATAACCAATGAATTGTTTTTTATGTATATATATCCTTATATTGTTTGATAGTAAATCAGAAAATATATTTTTTTTCTATAAAAAAACTAAACGAAAATAACAAATATATAAAAAATTAAATCAAGTCATCCATTAACTCAATTCAGTGATAATCATAACAACTACGACAAGTGTGTCATTGAATTATCTAAAGTCTGAAGCAATGCTATACAAAGTTGTTTTTCAGTTGAAATAATAATAATAATAATAATATTGTAATAAAACGATAGTTAATTAATTATTTAGTTACGAATTTAATATAATATATATATATATTTTTTTATAGATATTTACAAATTTTGGAAAAAAAAACTTTTTTTAAAAATAAACAATCAATAACCACAAAAATCAAGTCATCATCGGATCAATCAATTATTTTAGTTTAAGAAACCACGACATTGAGGCGCCAGACATAGACACGGAATCTTATTGTCCTCTTCGATGGGAAATTTGTAATCGTAGGTAATTTCTTCGTCCACTTCGATTGGTTGCTTGGAATAGATGACAATCTTTTTGGCGCCCTCCACGGTAATCACTTTGGCGTAACAATTAGGCTGTTATCACCCCAACAAGTAACACAAAAAACAAATTAAAATTACTCATCAATTAATCTAATAACCAATCAATTATATAGTAATGGCCTTACATTGCAACTATGATTTATAAATCGGGCCACATTTCCGTAACGGGTAGCGTCGACAATGGTCTCGAGATCCACTCGGAACAGGTATGAACTACCGATACCCAATTCAGTGTATTTCTTTTCTCTAATATCGGCGATAATCGGCCGAATTCCTTGGCCAACATATTCGATGACCATTTCGTCGGCGGCAATCGGTTCCAATGCGAACAGACCCCAGTCGTGGATTCGACTCTTGGCGAACTTCAGCTGTTTTTTGCGGAACTAAATAATTGGATATAATTTAGTAACAGTTTCGTAAACAATATACCGGTGGGTGAGGTAGGGGGGGGTAAGCAATCATCTTAAACAAAACAATCATATAATACCTGTAATTGATTAAACTTCAAGAGATCACTCCAGGCGGCGTCAACTGTGGCCAAAAGTCGTCGTTGATTAGATCTGGCCTCTCGGGTGGACCCTGTTCCTACTTGTCGGGCGCGCAACTGTTTCGGTAAGTCATTGTCTTCATTGTTTGTCGTATTGAGTGATGTGTTGGACACGTGCGACATTCGCACCTTTTCCCAGAAGTCCATCTTATAGTAGCCCTCAGATCGGGCGCAACCCGTCTGATGAATTCGTGGCTGAGAATCGTCTGTCTTTCGTTTCTTCTTTGGTGACGCAATATGAGTGGCCGGATGATCGACCCAATGAATATCGTTCAACCACCAGATCTGGTTGTCCTCTTGAAGCATATTCTCGTAACTTCTTTTCATATAAGAAACATCTTCGACGTCGACACCAGTGGCCAAAAATTCGTATAAAATGTTCATCTCTTCGATTAGATCTCGTTTCTTGAACACTGGTTGCGGTGTCGGTACTCTTTCGGGAACGACATAGTCATCGACGAAAGAGTCGGTTATATTATTCGGTATATTAGTTCGCGCTCTCTTGGCTTTACGCCATTCAGAGGCCACAGCGTATAGGCTGTGATCAAACTCCGGAGTCGGCGACGACTTTTGAGCGGTTTTCTGAGGCGACGTCTTTTTCTTGTACTGTCTCTTCTGGGTCTTAGCCTGAGCTGAGGTATCTTTTGTTCGACTATACATATGATCTGTCAACTGATTCGACTTGTCTTTCGATTTGTCTTTAGCGACTCCCCGGGCGACCAAATCGATCACTGAATCGAGATCGGTGGCCGGTTCTCGTGATCGTAAATTCGGTTCAGGCATACAATAGCTGTGATCGAAAGCAACCGCCGTCTGAGGCGTTTCATTATCGAATTCTTCCGTTTCTGGTGCCGATTCCGTGTCACTATTCATAGGAACTCTGCTTAATGTTGTCGTACTATCCTTACCACTGGGCTCTGCTGTGACTAAGTTCTTTGGAACCACTGTTGAAAAACCAGTGGCCAAAGCCATAAGAGCTTGCGATGCCTCCAATTCTAAATCAGTGGTTACTTCAGTGTTATTATCTGTTTTATCATCAATTGAATCTAATTTACTATCATTTTCTTCTTCAGGACTTTTTCGTTCGGCTTTTAATTGAGACTCTCTTTGAGCAAAATCTTTGTCTGATTTTTCTTTTGTTGAAACAGTTGACCGATGTTTTCTGTATTTCTTTTTTCGTTTAGCGCTAGAAGTGACGGATGATGCAGATGAATCAGATGAAGAACTAGACGATGAAGCGGATGATGAAGATGACGATGAGGCTGACGATGAAGACGAAGAGTCACTATCACTTGACGATTCCGATGAACTCGAGTCCGAACTAGAGCTGGAACTGCTGTCACTTTTAGAGCTACTAATCGACGATTTGGTGTCGTCGTCGATAACAGCGGCCGCTCTATTCTTCTGTGCCCTCGACTCGCGCCTATAGCTGTCGCTATCATCGGATTTATCAATATCTTCGTCCGATTCGCTCCTTTTTATATCGGGAGTATCATCGGTCGGGTCAGGCGAAGATGGCTTTTTGAATTTGCGTCGAAACGAAGGCATTTTAGGAATGGCCGCTCTCAGACCTAATCCAAGACCCGAGAAAGTATTTACAGATTCTGCTTTATTATCATATAATGATGGAATTGTTTGCCATTGAGACGATGGTGTTGTTGTTGTCGTCGTCGTCGGCCTCGACTCATGAGATTTATTATTAGAAAACCTATCACTGCTATATAAACTAACTCCTGATGTCTTGGACTTGTTTTCGCAGTCATCCCACCACTTCTCGAACAGCTTGAAGGCAGTGCTTTCGACCATTTTTTTGCAAATGTCTTTCTTAATCATTTCTTTCAATTCGGATACCACTATATTAAGCGAATTACGAGTTATCTGTATCTTATTTGCTTCGTTTGTCTGTTTTTGCCACTCGTTGTTCATTTGGGACATTTGCGGTGTCTTTGATGTCGGCGTTACTGGTGTTGATAGAGAAGGAAAATGAGAACTGTTTGGTTGTTGGATAAAACCAGCGCTACTATAATAACAGGGCTGTGGAAAGGGATGGGTGGCTGACTGAGTTGTGCTAAATGACTGGCCAGTCATAGGTGTAAACATAAATGGGGTGAACGCTGTGGTGGCTGTTGATGAGGTATAGTTAGGCGGATTGGTGGCCGAATTATAGGCTACCATATCAATATCGGAGCCCATTCCCGGTTTCCACAGCCCTAACCGTGCCATCATCTGGACGTGTTCAGATGGATACATGGGGTGAGATGCCTGATGATGAACACCGGCAGAAGTTGAGGGCTCGCTAGTGTCCTCACCTCCTATCAGCAGTTTTTCGCCGCTACTCAACGATGACAATGACATACGATCGTCATCGTTGTCATCCTCAACACGTTTCTTATACTTATTACGAGATCTCTTACTTTCTTGTGGTTCATCCTTCAGTGGTGTCGAATCATCTTCGATATCTTCTTCGTCGTCCAGATTATCGTAGTCGCTGTCTTCCCAAATCAGTTCTTTACCCGAATCGATAGCTTTCGTCATTTTATGCCATTTAATGAAATCGGATGCACTCAAGAATGGTGACGGAGGTGTTCCCAGAATGGGTTCTGAATCCATGTCTGAACGGCGTTGATTGTTCCGTCTGTTTGCCGACTCTGTGAACTCGTTTTTCTTATTATTACTATTCAAAGGAGAACTACTACTTTTGAAATCGAGTGGTGGACTTCCAAGAATACCCAGAAAACTGGGTCCCAAACCGGCGCTCTGTTGTTTCAGTAGTAGTTCTATACGCGAGTCCAGACTCTCTCTGACCAGGCTTTTGTTGAGCGACGACGGATCGGGTTTTATGTTGTTTTCAATCCATTGTCCGCTTTGCGGATCCCATACCATATTGTTGACGGCACCAGTTGTTTGGTTCCACAAGCCGTCGGTACAGTTGTTGCCGTTGTCTGTGGCGTAAGGGTAGTGCTGTTGATAGGAGTATCCGCTGTCATAGCTAAGTGGTGTCGAATGAGATGAATGTGTTGTTGATAAATAGTTAGCGCTTGCAGTTAGTCTACCGTCAGTGGCGTACCCATAATCGGAACTATTGGAAGGAGTGGTGGCAGGAATTGATGAGTTGACAGTCATCGATACTGACGGTACACTTTCTACTTCTGGATTTAATGCTGTATTTGGATCTAAAAAGTTTGCATCTATGGATGGTTGTTGTGTGGTTGGTATTTGAGGTATAACTGGTGGCGGATTTACTATCGCTTCGAAAGCTGACGTAACTTCTTTGCCTGCAATCAAAACAAGAGAGAGAGAGAGAGAGAGAAACCATTAGTTTTTTTCGAAACTTTTCTTTATCGGTGCCATTATTACCGAATGGATCAATAAAAACGTTGATAATATTGCCCATCACTGACGTCTGGTCCAACTTATCTACACAGGCTTTGGCGCCAGAAGTCGAGTTGAAACTGATTCGCGCTAAACCCAAATGTTTTTTGGTTTTTGGATGATATAAAACTTCTAATTCATCGATGAGATCAAATTTTTTTAATAAATCTTCTAAAAATGTTTTATTTATATTATCGTTCAGATTCGTAATGGACACCTCCAGCGGCGGCGGAGTTCCCACATAATTGCTGTCAATCTATCGGCAACAACAACAACAACAAAATAAATAATTATCGGTAACGATCTGGACATTCATAATATATATATGTTTTATATATACCTTAAATTTGGGAAAAATCAGTTCCGCGGCTTCGATGTGATTCCAAATGGGAGGTCTTCGTGGATCCTTCACCTGAACCGCTGAATAAACCGCTTCCTTCTTTAAGACAATAAAAAAAATATGTAAACTCTTGTAATGTGATTTGTAAATTGACTGATCTGACTAACCCCGGGAACCACTCCATCGTATCGATAGACTTTAAGCGCTGCACCTTTTTTTAGTGCCGGATCCGCTATTAGTTTATAGTCACGAGGTTTTACTGGTGGCTGACCAGCCGTTTGGTGCGACAACGGCGGCGGTTGCTGTGAGGGTAGCGGACGGGAGTCGGCACTCAATTTGATTGGTATCGACGACATCGGATTTGTTGTGTGATTGGATTGGCTTTGGGTTTGGACAACCATTTCTCCATTCATTGCTTGAAAATAAAAAAAAAGATTAATAATAATAATAATAATCAGTAATTATATGGACATCTGGTCATCGGATTTGTCAAATCACACACACATACAGTGATTTGAGGCTACAATTGGCTTCAGATTGTTGGCCACAACGACTGCTGGTTTGACCACCGATTCGTTCATTTGTGACTTAAAAAAACCCCAAACAAAGTCATCCAAAAGACATATCCGCCGCCAGAAAAAAACAGAAGAAACAACAGAAGACGATCGTCAACTCAGGTCAAGCAGATCGCGGGTCTGGAAATCATAATAAATAAAAAACAAAAACAGATTATTACAAGAGATCTATCGATTTTGACCACAGATTTCGGTTATTAAAACAAAAATATCAAAAACTATCGGTTGATATATACCATCAAATAATTATTAAAAAAAATTTAAGTATCGCTTGTATTAAGTAAATACAGATTCAATGCTTTTCTTTTAGTTGAACTAAAAAATTGCAATTAAATTGTCTGATAATTAATTAAAATAACAAAACAATACATTTAGAGAAAAACTTTTATATATATAATAATATATTTATAAATCTTTTTTAACTAAATTTAATGGCAAAAAATAATATTAATAAGTGAAACAAATTAAAAAATAATAATATATATATCTATTTGTTTAGTGAATACATAATATAATAATAATAATAATCTGCAAAAATCATAACAAAATACAGTATATTATTATTATTATTATTATTACTATAGGTATGAATGAAACGAAAAATACATACAAACATTGCATTCAATGCATCCAACCATACATTTCCAGCCAATGATTGGCACATTAGTTCAGCCATTCATCCAATAGATGGCACAATAGATATGCTATTATTGAAATAGTAATTGAAATTAAATGCATGTATAAAATACAATATATATATATGTATTTTTGACAATTGGTTATTACAATTATAATAATCACTTTTTAAAAAATAAATTATTAGTTATTAAATAATATATATATATATATTTATAGAGTATATATATTAGCATTCGGTAATGATTTTATAATTATCGGCTAAAATACCCGATAACCCAATTTGTTTTGCATTATGATATCATATATGTTGAGTTGTATTAACCAATTGACTGGTGATTATGATATATTAATTTTTATGATCGCTTCAAATCTTAATACTGTATATTATTAGCTATATATTTATATAGCAATTTTTGATGACTTTTAGTGGCCAAATGGTCAGTCACCTCGAGGGTGATCAGTCCGGGTGAGGGTCAGCCCCATAAGGGTTGGCATGTAATGTGTTGCGGATCACACATCCGTTTTTTTGTTGTTGGTCTGACCTTATAGTCTGACGCGGGCTTTCGTATTGTGTGAATGATTGTTAACATTACTGATAAATAGAGAGATAGAGAGAGAGAGAAGCCATTTATTCATTGCATTTTCACATATCATTTATCATTGAATTATTGCAGTATTACTACTACTGTTAATATCATATATGAGTTTGAAAAAATTAACTTAAAATTATTGACATGAAATTGACAATTAATAAGATATTACACCACTTGATCACTATGGGATGGCCTAATAACCCCACCCCTCCCATCCATAGATCAAATTGATATATTAATAAATCTTTAAATGGTGTCTCTCTTTCTTTTTTTTTCTCTCTCTCTCTCTAATAGTCATTTAAATTAGTCATTTCATTACAATTATGCGATACAAACACACATACAATAAAAAAAATCCTATAAAATTCATGTATTAAAACACGTTAATACAGTAATTATCAACAAAAACTAAATAAATACTAAATAACTAAATAATGTGAGAGAAAGTGCTGTAAAAAAACTTATCAATTATTGCCAATGACTTATTCAATGCTAGTTTGGGGTTAAAACTGATTTTTTTTATCAAAATTGTATGCATTATCGACTCAATTTGATTGATAATAATTATAATAATAATGTAATAATCAATTTTAAACAACAAATTTTTTTTATTAATAAATTAAAATATATATTTTTTATTTGATAAGTTAAATGATAAAATATTTTTTTTTAAAATTAAATTAACTAATCAATGGGTGGCCATTGAGTCCTAATTGTTTGATGATAAGACTGTGGCAACCAATCGATGTATTGTTTAAGTAAATCTAATAAAAAAAATTAAAATAATTAAAACTAAGTTTATATATATATAGTGTAAAAAAGTGGTAAATCGACGAAATGGACTTACATTTTGGATCTGATTTCCATTTATTTACTAAACTGTTTTTGGAGTCAATTTTCTGTGAAATCAATGCATTCAGCAATCGTTCAGTTCGTGGCTGAAGATTAGCCCACGATTTGACTAAAATGATGGGCGAAGACAACAGATTCGATGAATAAGATTTGAAAAACTTGATGACATGTCCTTCGAGCAAGAATTTGGCAAAATATTTATATTTCTCTAATCCATCGGGATATGTGACTTCGGTGGCTTGTATTGGCCAATCGTACGGACCAAAAGTGGCCGACCGATGACACTTAATCGTATCTGAGTGACAATCATATCGTGGTTCGGGTCTTTCCAATGGATTTGAAAATTTGCATATTTGTGGTACAAATACTGGCAGCCATTGGGGATCTATGGTCACAACATTTCTCATTTGTAGCGATGATGATGTCGTTGCTGTTGTCTCAAACAGTTCCTGATAGACAACATATTCGGGCAATTCGTCACTTAGTATTGAATTATGTGATATGAAAACCGGATTTTCCACTTCAATCGACTGATAACTGGATTTGAGTTTCTTCTTCTCCTTGTCGGTCATATCGACGTCCAAAACGGGAACTTTTCGGGCGATTCGGTCAAAAAATCCGCTTAACATGATTTGACGCAACAGTTTTATTTGTGTTGCATTGGGTGGACTCATCTCATTATTTACATCCTGTTCCTCTTCAACACCTGAGTTATTGCCGCAAATTTGGCTAATCTGTGAACGCAATTGTTTTCTTAATTTATTAATTTCTAGAAAAGCCTTATATCGTAAACCGTTTTGTTTACAAAACTTATCGGTAAGTCCGGCAAACTGTGTGGCACCGATACTGTTCAACAGTACCATTATATCGCCTAATTGTAGATCACTTTCATTTGTAAACCACTTTTTATGTCTCTTTAGGGTATTTTTATTATCAATAAATATCTCTTGAACTGTTAGACCGGCAACAATGGCTATAGTGTAGGACATGAGTTGGTGCTGTCGCGATAGTGCCAACATTTTGGCATAACGTGGACTAATCGGAAAATGTGACATCGCTTTGCCCAACGGTGTTATCGTAGCTTTCAAATAGTTTTTGGGTTTTTTGTCCGACGACGACAACAACAAGTTTGACACGTCTTTGAGTGCTCCCATCACTATAAGTCTCTTTTCGGCGGCAATCATAGCTTCGGTAGACGGTTGCGATGGAAAGGGAAAGTTGACAACATTTTCAATGTTCATTGATTTCATTTGTAGCATCAAATCGTCGGCCGGTTTGCGCAGTATTTCTGGCTCTGAATACTGTAAAAATTCGTCGTTAAATATAGCCGACGAATATAACCGATAACAATGCCCCGGACCTGTCCTACCGGCTCGACCCGCTCGCTGGTCTGCCGATGCTTTCGACGACCAGGTGATGATGAATGTCGATATACCGGTAACATTGTCATAGACTTTTGTCTTGACTTTGCCGGTGTCGACAACATATTTGACATTAGGTATGGTTAGAGAGGTTTCGGCAACGTTTGTGGCGACAACACACAATCGACAACCAGTTGGCGGTTCTTTAAATATCGATACTTGTTGTGAATGTGGAAGTAGTGAATAAAGTGGCAAACAATACAACGGTTGTTGACTGTTATGGTAAGCAATGCCGCCGTCGTCGGCATTATCACTGTCATCGCTGTCGACATCTTTGATTAATTGGTCATTATTTTCATCGTCAGAATAATCTAAATCATCTAATTGTGATTCATTTTCCAATGGATTCACTTCATAACTATACAAACAGATATATAAATAAATTATCGCTAATTAAAAATAATACATATATACATATACTGTATAAAACTTATTAAATTTCAAAACTACATACTCATCCAAATTGATTGTCACTGTTTTCTTTAGCTTATTATTTAATTCAATTTTATTATCACTTTCCGTATCAGTTTTCTTATCTTTTATTTTCTTTTTAGTCGATAATTTATTTTCAACATATTTGGTGCCTGTATTCGGATATTTAGCTCTCAGTCGTCGACATAAGACTTCGACTTCAGCTCTTCCCGTAACAAATACCAGAATACCGCCGGCCGGAGATTCACTGTGTATTTTGCAGACCTTTTTGAATGCTTCGTGAAGATAGTCGCTGTTTGTCTTTTTATTGAAGTGAACCGATACCGGGTATTGTCGCGAATCGATCTGTAAGCGGATAAAAAAATATTTGTTTTCAAAAAAAAAATGTTCATTAATTTACGGTAAACTGTTTATTAATACCTTGATAACCGGCGCAACCGATTTGAATAGTCGTTTATTTTCGACAAAATCTTCGACTCTAAGTGTGGCCGACATGACAATCAGTTTTAGTGGATCTCCTTTCTGTACATAAAAAAAAAATCAATACAATTACTGGTAAATCTTCATATTTAATAAATGGTAAAACATCTTATATATCAATATATAATTACAAACCTTTTCCCTAAGCGGAACAATACGTGAGAGAAGACCAATCAAAATGTCTGAATATAGACTTCTTTCGTGCGCTTCATCGACAATAATAGCAGAATATTTCTTAAGAAGAAAATCCTATTAAAAACAAAATTTGATTTTATTATTATTATTATTACTTTTTCTTCTTCTAAAAAAAACAATTATTAAATAAATATAACAAACATTTTGTATTTCTTTAAGAAGTACTCCGTCTGTCATAAACTTGATCTGTGTTTCCGGTGTGACATTTGATTCAAATCTAATTTGATAGGAAACCCGATTGGTTGAGACATTCATCTCTTCTGCCACCCGTTTAGACATCGCAATGGCCGCCACCCGACGCGGTTCGGTCACTCCAATCAACTTTTGATTGCAAACAAATCCGGCTTCAAATAAAAATTGCGGCACTTGTGTCGTCTTTCCCGAACCGGTTTCGCCACAAATAATAACAAATTGATTGTTAAAAACGGCATCCATTACAGTATGTTCTTCATTAATGATAGGAAGAGCTGATCGATATTTGTCCATATCTTCGGTTCGATTTATTTGCTGAAACTGTCGCCGACTAACCTCCTTCTTAGGAATTTCTTTTTTATCTTTTTTCTGCTCTTCTATGTCCTTCTTAGGCATCTCTGTGGCCGTTGTTTCGTTTACTTTGTCTTCAGTTGGTTTCGTTTCGATGGGTTTTGATTCACACTTCACATCAGATTTGACGACATCATCGACTTTTTCACAATCATTTGAAATACCATTACTATTATCACTACAATTATCCAGCACTTGTGGCACACCATTGTCTGCGTTCACTGTATTAATATCACCATCATTTGGATCAACTATACTATCACTATCACTACTATCATCACTACTTTCTGATTCATCAAAAGCTGATATAACATTCAAATCTTTAACATGTTTTGGTTTTTCAGTTAATTTCTTAAATTTTTTGTATTTTTTTAATATAAATTCATTTTTGTCATCAGTTTCTTCGGTAACTGAATTGATTGTTTTCATATCAAATAATCTTAAGGAAAAAAACCAATTGGCATATAATTAAACTCTTCAGTCGATTATAAATACAACAACGAGACCAACAAAAATAGATCAAACCTTTTGCGACCAAATGTCTGGACATCACTCGTTGACGACATTAAAGCCATCTCTTTATCTTCGGCTCTGAACTCTTGCAAGTCTTGTAAAAGTTTTGCTCTCTTTTCAGAAAAAAAAACAAATAATGAAAAATATAATAACTGATGAAAAAAAATTTTAATTTCCCAATAATTATGACTTACATTGATTTTGCGGTCTTTTCTTTCTAAGACTTTTTCCAACTTTTTCTTCTGTTTTTTCGACAAAATTCGTTGTTTCGGTCCATTCGTGTCCTTTGCTTTCTTCGGCTTCAGTTTGTCTTTGTTGGACTCGACGACCAGAGCGTTGCACGAATCGTATTTAGTTTCATCGACATCGATGTCAATCTTAGTGGCCATCAATTTCTACCCGAAAAAGATAATCGGTCACCAAATCGCCGGACAATAAACAACAACAACAAAAATCAAAGAAAGTTTTTACCCGTTTGTTGGCCACCGTTTCGGTTACATTGTCGCTGCCGGACGCCGACTGTCGGCCCTTCCAGTTATGTCCCTTACGATTGCGAACCATTATCTCTATTTTTAGACACTATTTGGTTGGATCAGCTGCTGCTGTGGTGATAGTCAAGGCTGTGGTTTTCATTCAAAGTTTATAAAAAAAAATTTTGATTTTGTATTTATTTTATTACATTTGTTTTGTCACACATTTAAAGCACGTGTTATTATTAAATAAATAGTAAAAACATAAACATTTAAAAAAAAATCCATTCAAAATATACGTACGCTTTTGAGAGATTCATAATTGAAGTAATTTTATGAATTAAATTATTTTAATTGTTAATATTTTTTTTTAATAATTATTTCATTATTTTTTTATTGTATAATACTATCTATTTAGTATATTATATATATTAATAATATTAATATACATTAAACAAAAAATAATTATTGTTTGTGCTAATTTTATATACCGTACTACTGTATTATCGGTAATTATAAATAATTTATATAATATAATAATAATAAACAAAACAAAAATCATTAAAACTTTATTTGATAAATTAAAAATTAATTTTTTATGGGTTTATATAAAATATTGTATATACAATTAGTACTGTATAAACAATTTATTAAATATTTACTGTATATTTAAGATATTGCGTGACTAAACAAAAATTATCTTGATTATAATAATATATACCATAGTATATATATATATAATTAATAAAAATCAAATTCATATATAAAATAATATCAAACAAATGGCTCTCATCTATAATATAAAATATTTTAAGCTAACAAAAACTGTTTATATTACTGATAAATAAAATTTATTGTCAAAACATTTTATTTTCAAAGAGATTCTTCACAGTGTACTTCAAAAAAATGCCAGACTATGTATTAACTATATTATTATATCTTAAAGTGCATATCTATAATGTGCTTATAAAATGATGGCCACAATTGATCCACAAAACTCTACCAAACAATTAGATGCCCTCTAATAATAATAATAATACTAATGTTGTTAATCGTCTTTAATTCGTTTGGCTTTTGAATTCTTCAATGGATTTGCTTTGCATTCTTTGTAGACGTTATTCAAATCAAACTCTTGAACAACAGTATCCTATAATCAAATCAATTAAGAAAATTAGATCCATTAGATCCACACACAAATCAATCAACAAAAATCATACAAAATTTAGATTAAATTTGACTAATTTTCCGTTATTGTTGACAACTGGTCGTCTCGTTTCTTCTTTGCCATTCTTGAACAGTATAAGTGTTGGCAATTGTTTGCTTAGAGCCGACGTATTGATTCTAAACTCTTTGGCCGTTTCCTCATTTCTGGCCAAATCTATTTTGCCGAACTTGAGATTTTCCAGACCGTATTTGCCGGACAATTCAGAAAATACTGAAGAAAACTCAATACACGGCGGACTCCAAGCAGTGTACAACTCGATGAACCAAACGATACGTTTGTCGTTTTGTAATTCTTGCTGCAAATCAGCTCCTCTTAAGTAATAAATATTTTCTGGTCCCTCATAGGATGGTTCCGGCAAAACAAGTAAATGAACTGAAAAATTTTCATCAATGTGTTAATCAAATGGCAATCAATGGTTTCAAATATCACATCAAGTTTTTCATCAAAAACTAAAAAAAAAGAGAAACAAAGACTTACGAATGCAAACCGTTAGATATAAGACACCATAGACTGGATCTGAATAAAAGTAGAGCAAAACGTTTCCCATCTTAGCTAACATACAGGCAGTGCTCACGTATGGTATCAAATGAATGGCACCTTTGATGGTAACAAACAGTCAGAAACAAAGACAGATTTGATATATAAATTTAAAAAAAAAATTCAATCAATTTAGTCAATCAATTGGTTTAGCAATCAATCAATCAATCAATCAATTAATCAAATTTATATATTAATACCTTGTTTTCGGGTCCGAAATATGATCACAACGGCCGTGAAGAATAGGATCTCTGTTTCTTTCTATTATTATTGGGAAGAGATAGACAAACAAACAAACAGATTAATCATTGATATCAGATAAATATTTTTGGATCTAATTGGGTGATCAACAATATATATAAAAATCAAATTACATAATCCAATTGACATTCGCTGAAGAGATAATCACAAAACGGTGACAAACATTTGAGTACTAAGAAAGAGATGGCCAATAATATATTGGTTACATAATGAAGACGAAGAAGTCGACGCAAGTGAGGAATTGGTATCAATGCCATCGTTGGTGTTGTTGTTATTATAACACAAACCAATTAAAATATGATCCAAAAAATATCTTTGGATTAGTATTGTTGTTGTTGTTGTTGTTGTGATGATAGCTATTATGTAATGATATTATTGTTTCAAACAAATAGTTATTTTTTTAACATATCATTCAAACAAACACATGATTTTCATTACAGTATAAAACAGTCTATGAATTGATAGCATAGTCTCTAATAGAGACTCTCTCTCTCTCTCTATATATATATATATATACAGTATATACAGTACAGTATATACTGTATTAGAGACACATTAAAAACATTAGAAATTTATTGCATTTTTTAAAAAATATTAATACAATATTACAGTTAATAAAGAATAATATTATATTATATTATATTATATTAATATTTATATTAATAATATATTTTTTTACTTCAAATTCATAAATAGTGTTATTATTATGTATGTGTTTTCACTTACAGTTAAGGCACCAAAACACACATATTATACAAAAAGTTTTTACAGTTAATTTATACAATATAATTATTACAGTTATACGTTATTATAAATAATTATTACTAATTTAGTACCACTAACTAACTTTTTAAGTAAATATTTTAAGATTAATTTTCAAAAATGTTGCTTACATAATATCATTTTTTAGTTAATCGCTATTTCGGTATTTTTATATTAAAAAAAATAATAATAAAATTATTAGTTTTATTTGTATATTATTAGGTACCAATTATTTTATTAGATAGGGAGGGATGGGATTAAATTACACCCCTATACTGAATATAATTTTTATAAATAATAAACTTAAAGTTTATGTCCCAAAACTTGGATCTAGATGTTTGAAAATATAATTTAATTTACTATAGTTTTATAGTCATTTATATACTATAATAATTTAAATACTATATATATATTGTGAAACTATTGATAAAATGCTTAGAAAAATCAGGAATTTAATTATTACTATTATTATTGTATAATGAAGTAGTTTTTAATAAAATATTACAATTAATTTTTATATTTATAAATATATTTGTAAGTAATGAATATTTTAGCTTATTTTTTAAAAATAAATAAATCAACAAATATGTTATTATTATTAATTTCTAACAAATTAATAAAGTTACTCTATATATATATATATATATATAATAATAATATCCAAATAAGAAATTTAATTTAATAGCTAATCAAATAATTTACAGCAAAAATTTAAATAATATTAATAGTACTAAAAAATAGTGTGTTTTAAATATTTCGTATATTTTAATAATTTTTACAAATTTTATTATCTTATAATATACTTATATTTCTTAAAATGCACTATTATTATCATAAAAATATATTATAACCAATTATATTTAATATTTGATATACTATTTTTATATTTAAATATATTATATATCAATAAATTGTGAAAAACTATTTTTATATTAAAACTAATTATATGCATATAAAAATTTAGTATTTTCAATATGACAAACAATAATGAATAAAAGTTATTTTAATATTAGATATTTTTTTTGTCAATTCATATCTAAAAAAATAATAATTTTATATTAAGTATATTTCTAATTATAGATACAATCTAATAATGTAATCACTATATAAAATGTTTATAATATAATGTTTAAATTTAAACTTAAAAATATAACATTAATTATATCCTATTTAAACTATTGTTTTAATGAAATTTTTAAAATACTGTATTAAGTAAACACTGTAAACTATATTTTTAATATCTTAAAAATAACAAATTAATTAATTTTAATTATATAAATTTTTTATTTGCATTTATTTGGATTTTGATTATTTTATAAAAATTATTTACACAATTATTAATAACAAATCATAATTATTAATAAATAATATAAATATAATTTTGACAATTATTTAAACAGATATCAGAAACATAAGATAAATAATAATTAAAATTATAAAATATTATTAAAATATAAATTAATAATTTATAACTTAAATATTTATAACAACAACAAAATTATTATTTTCCTAAAAAAATTATTATATAAATAAATTTATTATTATTATAGTATCAAAATTTTAACAATAAAAAAATTTGCCTAAACTAAAAATATATATATTTTACATAATTTTTGCATTGATGATTTTAAGCATCAAATTAATACTGTATTTGAATTTGTATATACAGTGTCTCACAATTTGTAAAAAAACAAATATTTGTTTTAAATAATATTTTACAGATTATTATTATTATTATTTGTATAATAATATTAATAAATTAAAACTTGTAATTTATAAGTTATATGAATTATGTTATATGAAATATATCGTAGTATGAAAATATGATAATAATAATAATAATAATACTTTCAATTTAATACAATAATATATATAACGAAAATATTAAATTAATTCATAGAAAATATTAACAAAATTCTAATATTAATAATAATTATAAAAACAATAAAAAATATATATTATTTACAACTAAAAAGATAATTTGAATTTAATAATAATATTTTAAATTAATTACTAAACTAATTAACAAATCAATCAATTAATTGGTGACTTTTTCTGGGAATGGCACAGACCTGGAAGGGTTTGGGAGCCATTGTGGCCGCCGTAATGCCCAACGCTTGCGGTGGCTCTTCATTATGGGGAACACAGAGATCAAACTGTTGCAAAAGGCTGGACATGAAGAGGAAAAACTCCATTTTGGTCAACACATCTCCCAAACACATTCTTCGGCCTTAAAAAATTTTTTAAATGAATTAGAAAATAATTATTAGATTTTTAAAAAAAAACTTTTGATTTTTTTAAAATAGTTATTTCTAATGGAATTTAGTTTTTTTTGTTTTTACTAACCGACAGAAAATGGTATAAAATAGTCGGGTTTATAGACTTTGCCGTTTCGGAGAAACCTTTCGGGTTCAAACTTTTCCGGTTCCAGCCATAGCTTTGGGTCCATATTAATGGCATACAAATTGGGCAAAATGTTTGTGCCGACGGGTATTCGGTAACCGCATAGTGTTGACTCTCTGTGATAATAATAATAAAACAAAAAATGTTAATTATGCTAAATAATAATAATAATAATTAGTATATTATCAGATTGTGGTTATGGGAGGACAAACTTACTCGAGAGTGGAGTGAGCATTGCCCAGTGCTATGACATTACTTCGGCGCAACACTTCCCAAAAGGTGGCCTCTGTGTACGGCATTGAAGACAAGTCGTCCAATTCTGGCAAACGTTTATCACCGATAACTTCGTCGATCTCCGATTGGACCCGTCGCTGGACTTTCGGATTGATCATCAGGAATAGTACGGCCCATTCGATGGTCGACGTAACGTTCTCGAGGCCGGCACTGAACATATCGTTCATCACTTGGATCAGCTGTTCCTCCGAAAAATACGAGTGCTGTCCGCTTGTCATATATTTTTCCTGTTGAACAAGATATGCGTCGACAAAGTCGCGGATACAATCTTTGTCCAATGTTTGGCGATGTTCGTCGACAATCTTCTTGAAGTAGGAGCTGGTCTCAGTACGGTTCTGGATCAGCTTCTGGTAGGCATAGTTTACTTTGGGTACGAATCTGAGTATCGAAAAGAAGTCGACGGGCATTGCAAGCGTAAACAGTTTGAAGCCCTCCTCCATGAGGCCCAACAAACGCAAGAATGTCTTGTCCTCCGAGTTCTTGAACGTCATACTCATTAGCAGAGAGCCGACAACATTGCTGACGGCACAGGCCAACAGTGGTCGGATACGACACGGACGCGAATCACATGATCTGAGATCTAACAGGAAGTCCTGTATCTGAGGCTAAATAAGTCACCAAAAAAAATAATTATTATTTATAACATTAATTAGAATTATATGGAGAAAAAAAAAATGATAATAATATAATAATTATTATTATTTTGTATTAAATATATATTTCAATCAACAAAAAAAATTTAAAAAAAAATTATATTTAAAAAAATATATATTAGTTTATATATAATTACCCGAATCTTATGCTCGAGACTATGCCTTCCGTGTGTAAAGCTTTTTGCGCCCAACTTTCTCAACACACTGTGCAAAAACTCCCGTTGCTCTTTCCAAAGTGCCCCTGATGAGTTTATTATTCCTAATTGAGTGATTGATTGATTTTTAAATTATATAAATTGGTTGGCAAACATCACACACACATATATATATATACACATTATACAAATATAAAAAATTATTATCATATAAATTATTACAAATTTAATTGTCAAACTGTGAAGTGAAAAAAACTATATATCAAAAAAATACGAAAAAAGTTTTAAAACTATTACTCTTATTGAAAAACTGATTAATACTCATTATATTATGATTATTAAAAAAAGTAAAACTAACTATTACTTCAAACTTACTGTTAAAAGTTTAGTTTAATTTTTTTTTAAAATAATACTTTTAAAACATCTAATATTACTGCTAATAATAATAATAATACAATAAAATAAATATAAAAATTATTATAAATTTTTTTTATAGACATACCGTATCCCTGAAGAATTCTAGTCAACTCAGTGTCAGGTCGTCCGGAAAAGACTTGGAGACGGAAAGCCTTTCTGATTATATGTGAATCACTGATAACGACAATACGTTTGCTTCCGAGAAATATTTGATACATTGGACCGAAAGCGTTGGAAAACTGTGTGAGTGTTAAATGAAATTCTTGACCCAAAAATGGCAAGAATCCAAGGAATGGTATAGACCGGGGACCGGGAGGTAGTGGTAATAGATTTGGTCGTTGGATGAGTAGTCGTACAATTAATAGGACAATAATAAATATAAGGAACAGACGAACGGTGGGCAATGTTAAGACCAGAGATGGGACCAGAGTTTGCATTTCATAGAGTGGTATACTAGCGGTGGTGGCTATCGATGATTGTAACCAAATATTTGCCATTAAAAATGTTGGTTGAAGTGAACTTCTTCAAGAATATTATTGAAGAATATATATATATATATATATACGGTATTTATATATATACTGTATATATATAAACATAAAAAAAAAGTTTTTTTTTATTTGAGACCAATACTTATGAGTTGTTGAACTTATTATTGAGACTTATGAGACTACTTGTGTTGTATATGTTCACCAATTAATGGCCCAAAGCGGACAATAGGTAACGGATAGTTGAAGTCGGCTTTTTATATTGAGCTCAGGTGCCACTCAAAATGCACACAACATTCATAGATATATATACCGTAAGCCTTTGACAAATCAGGTTATATATATAATCAGGACATATATAAGCCCAATGTAAGTGTTTAGGCTCTCCCCCGGTATCTCTCTCTAAACCAGGTATACACACACATACACATCACACATACAGGTATATACAACACAAACCATTTCCCACACTATCCACTGTCTCTTTTTAACAGTAACTTTTATATTATTAATGTCTACAATAAACACACACACACACACACACACACACACACACACACACACACACACACACACACTAACTGTAAACGACCCCAAAAACAGTATATTTCCGAAAAAATAACTTTTGAATTAAAAAAACTTTTTATTGAAAAAAAATTGTTTTTTCTCCAAAATATACTGTTTTTGGGGTCGTTTTCCTGCAAAAAATATAATAATATTGTTTATTGTAGACATTAATATATCGATATATATATATAACTGTTTAGAGGGGTAGCGGATAGTGTGGGAAATGATTTGTTTACCTGTATATATATATATATATACCTATATGTATATATGTTGTTGTTGATACCGGGGGAGAGCTTCAAAAAAAACACAAACATACTGTACATATAACTACCTGAGCTTATAGTAGTTGTTTTGTGGACAAATAGGTGAAGAAAAGATGACATATAGTTTTGGTTTTATAGGAAAAACTGTTTTGTAAAAAATAGAGTGAAAATTCTTAACTCAGTTAAGGGTCGTTGAACTCAAACTCGTGTCGAGAAAGAGAGAGAGAGAGAGAGAGAGAGAAAAGTTTTGCCGTAAAAAAGCCGTTTTAATGGGAAAAATGAAAGTATTTTGAAACAAAAATTTTAATTTATTTTATTAATTACTTATTCTTATTATTTAATTATAATTTCCAAATACATTTATTAAATTAAAATTATTTATTTCATAAATCATTTACATTTTTGTTTGTTTGTTATCATTTCAATTTAATACAGATTTGTTTTGTTTGATTATTTGATGAATTAAAAAATTGTGTGTAAATTACAATAATTTTTTTTTTATTAATTTTATTTTAAATTATTTTTTTGCAGTTAGTATTTTGCAAATCAATAAAAATATATATGGTTTGCAAAGAATTTAATATACGATTACTTTAATTATTTATTTTTTTTGGGCAAAAAATTAAATTATGGGTTTCATGTGATATACAATCGATAAAATAATTAATTACTTAATATATATATGTTTAATTTTTTTTGTTGATAGTTAATCAGCAACAAAAAAAAACAGTTATGAATGTTTGTATGTATTTGTATGTGTGATGTTGAGGTGTACTTGAAGTTAGTGGTGAGAGAGATGCCATAAAATGGGTCAAAGCGTCAAAGCGTCAAAACTAGCAATCAAGCGGTCATTGACACCAATCGGTGTGTTAAGAAAACTTTCCCTTTTATTATGAGCTCATAAAGTCATAAAACTTAAAGACCAAACCGTCTTTATATATATATATATATTAATATAATTTATATATATATTAATGGCTTGATTTGGTTTTAATACATTACTATTTTATATAAATATTAATATTTATTATTAATTAATTAATTAAACACCTACAGTATATATATATCTCTCACTCACTCACACATTGTATGACCCACTAGTGGCTTATATATGATATATATAACATCAATAGGACCGCAATTGTTGCGTTAGTCAATAATCCAAACTTAAATGGTGTGTATATTAATAATACAGTGAATAAAATGATATCTTATTTTTATAGATGCGATGACACCCTAAGCGACTGTAACTATCTTTCTTTCTCTCTGTTTTTCCATCACTTTTGATGTCCACCAAAACCGAGACCAACTCCTCGCTGGGTATGAGTGGATATGCGAGCGATAGAGTACTGGATATCGAGATCGCGAAACAAAGTTTCTTGACTTTGGATAACACTTTCGTTCTTACAGATGGTTGAAGAACTTAATTCTGGTTTATCTTTAATTCCCATCAATTTTTTAAACTTTTCCGTCATTTCATTTCCCTTTTCGCCTTCAAATTTCAGTCCATTCCAGCGATTTGTTGCCGAACCCGACGGCTGACTATTACTAGTGGCCAAACTTTTGGTATCATTAGGTGATAACTCCTTATATTATATAATATTTTTTTAAAATAAAAAATAAAATTTCTTCATTTAAAATAATAATAATAATCTAAATTAATAAAATTTGCTAATTATATTAATAAAATCGCGGCAAAAATTATTTTAAAAATTTAATTCCAAAACAAGTAACGATAACATGATTTGTAACTTATAGTCAAACTTAAATAAAGTTAACTTTTTTTTTTTAAAAAAAACACAACACAAAAGTGTATGAAAATAAATCAGTGATATCTATAATAAGCTGCTTTTTGTATGTCGAAAGCGATTTTTAAAAAAATACTATAATTAGAAATTAAGTTATATCACAGTTTTTTTTATTATTAATTTATCTAATTTGTTAAAAATATTTTAACGCCAATAATAGCTACAATAAAGTTGTATTTTTGAACTTTTCTTTGCTTTTTATTAAAAAAAGACTTCGCATATATAGATATATGAAAATATTTAAAAATAAATAAAAAATTGTTATCAGTCACTATCTCTCTCTCTCTCTCTCTCTCTCTCTCTCTCTCTCTCTCTCTCTCTCTTACAAAATAACCACAAAACAAATTAAATCATTTTTTTGTGTGTGAAATATATTTCACTTTTTTCCCATTTAAATATAAATCTGCGATAAAATCATTATTTTGAGGAAATTTCTTGTCTTACGTAAGTCTTCACACTTGAGATTAAAATTGTCTAATCGTTTAGATTAATGTCTAAACTCATCAGTGAATCACTTCAAGGAAACACATAAAAAAAGGCGACCCCTTATAGGTCGAGACCTCTTATGTGATGATAATCTGAGGAGTGTGTGGAGTAATATACAGTATATACTGTATTTATAATATATAAATATAAATAATATAAATATATATATATATATATATATAACATAAAATTTACTTTATTTGCAAAAATATATAATATATATTTTAAAATATAATTGTTATAATATATATCATTTAAATATCCAAAAAGGAAACAATTTGTTTTTAATTAAATTAATTAAATATTATTCATATTGATATTTCATTTACATTATTTGAGAAAATATTTTTGTTGTTAATATATAACTGTTAATTTGCTGTTTTAATTTAAGTTGTTTTGTAATCAAATATAAATTATAATTTTATATCTCGATTTCATATCAAAATATTTATAAAAAAAATTACATAAATTTTTCTTATATTACAGTAGTAGTAGTATTATTATTATTACTGTTTATATTATTTAAGCAACAAATGTCAGTGAAAAATAAATTAAAAAACAAACAAATGAGTCACACTTATCGTAAAACATATCTTTTAGTTTTTTTTATTTAATGAAAATTCAATTTTTTAATCCCATATTTCCTTTAACTAATTTTTTTAAAAAAAAGCCATAACAGCGATATTGCAATAATTTTAAATAAAAGGCAAAAAATATTAAATACTATTTATTTTTTTGTTAAACAGAAAATACTTTAATCTTATTAATCAATTCAATCAATTAAAAGTATATTGACTTTTTCAGATGTGTATTATATTATACTGTGTTTTAGTACATCTCAATAAATAAATAAATTATTTAAATAAAAGCTAATATTATAATTTAGTTTATAAATTATAATATATGATTAATAATATAAAAATAAGCTAGCTAATATAATATAATAGCTAATAATTATTTTAATATATCCTATTTATTAACTATTTTTATCTCACAACAATAATAGATTAATTTAAAGTTAATTTAATTTTTAAGCGCATCTAATGTAATGATTTATTTTTTTGTGTATTAATAATATACAGAATACCGTATATTTTTAATACACTAATAAATTATAGTCTTTAATGCATATTAAACTTATACCATACAGTACCTGTATTTTTAGATATAATTTATTTCAGCTATTGTTAAATCAATAAATACAGTAATAATTACTATCTAAGAATATGTCAAATAAAAAAAAGGTAAAAACAATAAACAGTTTGTAATAAACAATTGCATAATATAAATAAAATTTTGCACTAAACAGTATATACAGTATATAACATACAAATTAAAAATTAAAACAATTAAAAATTTTATTACCTTAACTAAAATAATGTTAAACAATATATTCTAAATAATTGATTAAATATTAGAGATCTAAAAAATTGTTTTTGAATCCTATATTTTATCTAATAGTAAACTAAAACATATAAATAAATTCATAGCAAACCTGTGTATTAGTGTCATCGGTGGCTGTCTCTCGACTCCACAACAGTTTTCGTTTGCGTTGTTGTTCAGCAAATTTCATGGGATTAACTACTCCTGGATTATAATATGTGGGAACAGTTATTCCAGTTTTGGCCTCTACTTGTTGTCTCATTATCTCTAAATTGACTTTGTGTTGACCACCCTTTTCTCCTTTATTAATTACACCACCGATGCCGACATTTTTTATGGTCAATATACTGGAGTCTATTACCTTTGTTTTATCGCATTTATCTATACTATCTTTAACTGTTTGGTCGTCCACTTTCCGGTCCAGTCTTTCTTTACTTGCACTTCGACTTCGAGATTTGCTTCGCTTTGTGTCATGACTTCTATCACGACTTCTTTCTCTACTTCTGTCACAACTCTTATCACGGCTTCTGTCGCGACTTCGACTCCGACTGTGATATCGTTTACGACTATTTTTCGAAGTCGTTGTCGTCTCCTCTCGCTGTCGATGTCTTCTGTCTGATTCATATCGACTATCTTTATGTCTCTCTACTCGCTGGTTGTCATATCTTCTATGGTGTCGATCTCCTCCTCCTCGTCTGTCATATCGATCGCTATCGTACGGACTGTTCCGCGACGACTCATACCTCGTTGATTGTCTCTCGCGATCTCTATCTCTTGTTTGATAACTTCCACCACCACTTCTGTGGTGTGTATCTACTCTTCGATTGTCTCTAACTGATCCATCAATTGGCTGACGCTTGTTGTCTAATGGCTGTCAAAATTAAGTGTTTTTTGCTTTCAATAATAATAACAATAAAAAAGTTAAAATAATAATAATAATAATTGTAGTATACATAAGATATTTACATTGTTTATAACTTATAGACTAAATTTAGCATGCTAAATTTTACAAACAAAAATATATTATTATTATTAAATCAACAAAATTAATTATTTTTAATTATCATATAAATTAATATCATGGTCATATATTAGTATTAGCTAATCCAGGTATAAATGTTAACTTAAAATAATACCTGATGTCTATCAGCCATAGTGTGTCCTGTTTGGGTGTCAATAATAGCTGATCCAATCAATTATTATCATCCAAGTCCTCGACAATCACTGCCACAATAAAAACGCCGATCACTACAAACAACAACAACAACAATAACAACTGTGTATTGGTTTTGGTTGTAAACAATGTGTTGTGTGAAGCGTTATAATAGTGTAAATAACATTGAAATACATGTAAATCATTGACTATTAATATACACTGTATTTCACTCATAGGCTATTGTATACTGTAGTGTATATATCAATAAATTAATAGTCATTGAATAGTAATTAATAAAATGAATAAAATATTATTAATTAATAATAAATTGTTGTGTGTTTTTAAAAATATAACTTTATTTAGTAATTAAATTAATATTAATCATTATCATAATGATTTAGTTAATAATAATAATAATACAGTAATTATAATATTTTAAAAATAACTTTTTCTTTCGCTATTTAAAAGACACTAAAAATTTAGCGATTCTTTAGGTTTTTATGTTTTTTCTTTTGCGAGACTCTGTTCTTCACTCCAATAGCTTCCTCGGTATCGTCGTTATCATCATTTCGACCTCTCTTTCGTTTTTTATTATCTCCGTCAATCATTTCCTGTCAAAAAACAAATATCAAATGTATTGTCAGCAAAGTTACCGATATATATAAATACTAAACGACTCACCGATTTGGCAAAACGTTGAGCTTCGGTAACTCTTTCGTTCAAAAGCATCACCTCTTCCTCTTGGCTCTCAAACAATGGCAACTTTTTGCCAATCAGGTGTTCAATGCGTTGATATAGTTCGACATCGTATTGGCTGACAAAGGTTACAGCCTTACCATAGCGGCCAGCTCTGGCCGTACGGCCGACTCGATGTATATAATCTTTGCTATGGGTCGGTATATCAAAGTTGACGACAACGTCGACGTGCGGAATATCCAGACCTCTCGAGGCCACATCTGTGGCAATCAAAATCGATCGATTCTTGGACTTAAACTTATTCAACGAGCCGAGCCGTTTGGCCTGACTCATCTGTCCGTGCAATGGTATGGCCGTAAAGCCTAGATTTCTTAATAACAGTGCTATTCGTTGAGTATTATTACATGTGTTACAGAAGACCATAAATGAATTGCCAACTAATTCGTTGAGCAGATAAACCAAATACAGGTCCTAAACAATCAAAGTAATGGTTATTTTTTTAAATATTTAATATTGTATTACAAATTACAAACAAACACTATTAATAGCTGACCTTATATTTAACGGGAATAAATAGATAAGACTGTTGTAGACTATCGACCGTTTGATATTTTGATGACACCTCAACCCGTACGGGATCTTTAAGTGACGCTCTCTGCAATTTCTGGACCTTTTTGGTCATTGTTGCCGAAAACATGTACGTATGTCTGTCTTTCGGTATCACTTTCAACAGTTTGTCCACTTCTTGTTCAAAGTCCATATTGAGAATTCTGTCGGCTTCGTCGAGAACCAGATATTTAAGACTTTTCAAATTGAATCCTTTGGTATTTTCCAAATGATCGACCAGTCGGCCCGGAGTGGCCACAATTATATGCGGCTTTTTAGCCAAACTCATCGACTGTGTAATCATATCCATACCGCCGACAATCGTGGCTACAATAGTGTGGTAAATGTAAATTGCATTTATTTATTTATTTATTTTAAATATACATCATTTTTAATATGATGTATATTTCATAAAAACAAAACAAAAATTTACTGCATTTAAGTCCAAAACTTGATCCCAATGCCATCAACTGTTCGCTAATTTGAAAGGCCAACTCACGAGTGGGGGTTAATATCAGACCAAACAACTTATGGGGCGTTTCTAACAACGCCTGAAGTATCGGTATAGAAAAGGCGCCCGTCTTTCCCGAACCCGTTTCGGCCAATCCGATCACATCACGACCTGATCCGATCCGGAAAATTTGTAACCATTAAAAAAAATTATTTTTGAAAATATTAAGAAATGGTTCATACCTTTCAAGGCAAGAGGTATGGCCTGTATCTGAATTTTTGTCGGTTTTTGCCATTTCAATGCTTCACACGCTTCGCACAAGATTTGATTGACGCCCTGAAGACACAGAGAAAACAAAACAGTCAGTCATATCTTATTTATCAAACAATTATGGGATCAAACAAAAAACAAACCAATGAGTGAAAAGTCACTTCTTCTTCCTCTTCTTCTTCTTCTTTAACTTCTTCAACAACTACTTCTTTGTTGTTATCATGAGTCTCGTCGTCGTCTTTTGCTTCCTCTATGTCTTCTTCTTCATCTTCTTCTTCTCCGATTTCTTCATTCAACAGCTGATCCTTTTCAGTGACCACCACTTCTTCGTCGTCACTCATTTTTCGGTGTTTTATATATTTAAAGTTAAATTAAATGTTTGACAAAATGTTTGATGAAATAATTAAATAATTTTAATTAATTAATTAGTTTAAGTAAATAGTATTTCAAAATTAAATGTCAAATATTTTTTTTAATGCAAAACATGTGTTAAAAATATTTTATTATTTTAATAATAATAAACACGAGGTTTGTATTGCAAATTGCAATGTATTTACAACAAAAAATACAAATATAACGTTACTTTTATTTTTAAAAATAAAAATTTACTAATTTGTGCATGCTACTATATGTATAAATTGTAATTATTATTAATGTATATTACTATTTGTATTATGATTTAATTTAAAAAAAAATTATTGACAAATAATTAAATCAATTTATTAATAGTAGAATTTTTTTTTATTGATTTTTAACACTTTTATATTATTTGTATAAAATATTTAGTACACTATTAGTTAATACTAATAGTATTCAATATCCTAATATAACTTAATATTATAAATTATTAATAATTATTTTTGTTTTAAATATTGTCAACTTATGCATTATATATATATATAATATTATTTACTTTTATTTATTTTTGACAAAATATAGTAGTACTGTATTATACAGACTGTATATATAGAATCTTAAAATAACTATTTTAGAAAATTCAAACTAAATTTTTATTGAATTATATACAGTAAGTATAGTATATTTATAATACCTGTATATAAGTCTTATACTGTATTATTTATTTATTAAAATATTTTAAATATAAAAATAGTTTGTATTATAGTTTCGTTACACACTTAATATAAAATTTATTAATTTTAATACCTATTGTACTGTTACAGTACTATTGGGAATTGAGATTAAATATTCATTTCCTATTTGTATATTCCTTTAATAATACATGAATTGAAAGAAAACCTTTAAAAATTATATTTTTATTTCCTATTTTTATTTTATCAATCAATTTAAAATAGTTGAATATATTTTTAACTAAATTTGATTTTCATACATCAAATTTTATCCGGTCATATATATATAATGCATGTAATCAATGTTACAAACACGACAAATGGTGATAATATTTAATTAAATAATTTTTATAAAAAAATAAATAAAACTTTGTGTTGAAATTATTTTTCATATTAAATAATATATAATTTTGTGTTTCGCACGACTATCACCTATAGATGTATTGGTCACTCAGTGGGCGACCGCTTTCGAGAGCCGCCAACAAAGTGATTCACTATTGTTGGAATTGTTGCCCACACTGTTAGGTGTGGCCGCATCGGGACGGTTGACACCATTTCTAATACCGACACTAATCAAGATTGTCATTTTGCCACTACTCAAGATAGTCAATACCATATCAAAAGTTTTCATAATAACCGGATGTTTCTCCTATTTTATAACCATTATTTTACCGCTACTTCTTAAATATTACGGTAATTAAATTAAATTTATTTGGTTTAATGTTTATTATTATTATTATTTAATAATTTTTTGTTGTGACATATTTTTTCTAATTTAAATATTTTTTTAATATTACTTTTTAGGATTAATGCCATTGACTGCAAAATCGGCCGAAAATATGTATTAAAGTTTTTAATTATTATTATTTATTTTCATTTTATTTTTTTTAATAACCATATATTTTTAAATGACATTTATTAATGAGTTTTATAATGACAAAATTATTTATACAATAAAAAATCTTATGTAATTAAATCATAGCAAATAAATAAAACAACAAAAATATATCAATTCATTCATCTTTTGTTTGATCCACTGTCTGATCTTTCTGTTCTTCCTCATCATCATTATCATCATCATCACCATCACTGTTGCTGCCATTGTCATCGCTTTTATCAGATTTGTCTTGTTTATCGGCTAATTAACGACAAACCATAAGATATGAAAAAAATATAAATTTTCAAAATAAATTAAAAACCTTTTTTCAATCTTTTATTCTTCAGTTTCTGTTTTCGTTTCTGTCGTTTTTCTCTCTTCTTTGCCGTCTTTTCTTCAGCTTTTTTCTTGTTATCTTCGACTCTCTTGTAATACTTATTGTCCATCTCTTCCTATGAAATGAAATAAACAAAACAAACAAACAAAAAATCAATTATTAGTTTTTATAAAATTTCAAAATATATATATATATATAAATAAAATACATGTTTAGCCGTATTCTCGATGTGTCTCATTCGGGCGTATTCTTTGCGTCGAAGATGTCGATAGACATGAAACTCTCCACTGCCGGCACCAGCACTTGAACCTGTTATATATGATATGATTAAAAAAAAAGATTGACAACACTTATCATCGGTATCATCATCATCATTGGGGGTGACCATCAAGAAATTGGTTCCCACCCCCCACCCCCCAAAAAAATATGAAAACAAACCCATTATATTGCGGACAAAGTCCGGCGGTTCGGCAAACTTTTTCTCCTTATGTCTTTCGGGTATATCAACGGGTTTGTCCTACAATCGGGGGAGTATAAGACAAAGTGGTATCTACTAGTTATCGTTATCATCATCATCACCATCGCGAAGACATTTTTGATAATATCATTAATAAAAAATACCGGATTTTTCATCAGCTTTTCCAATCTAATCTTCTGGATGTCATATAACGTATAGTTTTTAAATTTTGTGGGTTTATTGCCATCATCTTTGGTGTCCTTATCTTTGTTGTCTTTGTCAGCCATTGTAATCGTCAGTTCTTTCAGAAATTGATCACTTGATTTGTGTCCACTATTGTTGTGATTATTATTATTATTAAAAGTAAATAACATTCAAAAACGTCAACAAACTATTTGTAAACAAAACTATAATAATAATAATAATAAGTAATAATATATTAATAGACTACTAGTGTTGTAAAAGCAATGTTTTTCATACATTTAATGACATTTTATAGCATTAATAGTACTTATTGTTAGCATTGAATGTGTGGTTCATTACAACACTATTTTCAATTTTAATATACAGATTGTGTATAAAAAAAACATTCAAAGCATTGGTTTTTATTTAATGTTATTATCGTTTCGTTTGATTTGATATTTACTTACATCTGATTATTCTTGAAAAGTCTTGGGAAGAAAATGTCTAAAAGAAAGGTTCAGTTCAACGATGATATCGATTTCAAAGAGATCAGAGAAGATGATGTCGAAGAAGATGTAGAAGAAGAAGAAGAAGAAGACAAAACCGCTGAGACATCGGACGCCAAGTTTGGCAAAAAATTCAAGCATACGCTGGACAGCGATGAAGAAGACGACGAAGTGATTTCCGAAAACTATAATGTATTGGACACGGATCAGATCGATGGCCAAGAAGATGCTACCATTGATCAGGACGACGGTATTCGTATTACACCATTCAATATGACAGAAGAACTGGAAACCGGACACTTCGACAAAGAAGGTACTTATATATTCAATAAGGATGAAGATATTCGTGACAATTGGTTGGATCACATCAATTGGCAGAAGCTTAAAGATACGACTGGTGGCGATGGCAGCGAACAGAAAAAATCCGATAACAAAGAAACTGATTCGGAAACAGAGGACAATACGGCCAACATTGATATCTGCGATATATATCGGCAAATGGTTGACCTAATGAAACCGCAGGAAAGTGTCGAACGAACCATTCAACGGTTGGGAAAAATGTTTCCGAAACCGAAACCATCGGATCGGTGGAAGAAAAACAAAGACTTGTCGTTGACTGACAAACAATTGGAGGCAAAAACAAGTTTAGCTAAATTAACTTCGTTGGCCAATTCGGTACTATTGACGGGTGATATGGATATCTATCAGAAAACTTACGAACATTTGGTCTTTACTATGGAAAAGAAGAAAAAGTTGAACAATAATAAAAACGAAACGACAACAACAACTTCTTCTTCGACTATTGAATCCGATATGTTTTCTGATGACTTTGATGTCAATAAAAAACCAGATGATAGTAATGGTGATAATAATGAGATGACGACCACTACTACTACTACTACTACTAGTGATGAAGTGATGTGGGAATTCAAATGGGATGACACCGATGAGGCAAAAGTATTTGGTCCGCACAGTAGCCAACAAATGAATGATTGGGTTACTGAAGGACACTTCGATAAAGGTGTCTATTGTCGACAACTCGGCAAAACTGATTCACAATTTTATAACTCCAAAAGGATTGACTTTGATTTATACACTTAGAAAGAAAAAATTGTTTATCAATATAATAATAATATTAATAAATAAACAAAACATTTCATTAATTAATTTAAATTATTTTCATAGCATTATTATTATACAATTATTATTGATTCCTATATATTAATTGGAAAAAATCATTATTTTTTTGTTTGTTTTTAATTTTAAAAATTCTTTCAAAAATATTAAAATAAGTTTATGTTATGACTTAACTTTAGTAATATACTGTATATAAAATATAATAAACTTACCGTGTTGAACTAACTTTATTGCTAATTTTTTTTATATAGTCAAACACATAGGCAAACAATTTTTAATTGTATGCAAAATGTATGGCAAGTGTAGCAGTTAACTACCTGTGCTATCACTGTAAGTCAACAAAAAAATCACACCTTTTTTCTTAAAGATATCCAACAATGATATAATTGTAACTATAATTGTGGTTAAATTGTTGAACCAATAAAACGAAATCATTTTGTTTTAATGATAATACAAATGTTTTTTTTAATTTTATTATTAAGTTATAAATCGAAAACTGATGGCAACTGAAAGCCTTGCAATTCATGTCATAATTTAGAAAAAAACTTAACATTCAATAATAATAATAATAATAAGATTTAGAAGAGAAACTGCATCTAAAAAAACTCATCAAAGATTGTTTTTTATGGAAAATATAGTGAAAACATATGGAAGTAAATCAACTTAAATATACATAGATTTTGTGTAAAAGTCATTCAATTATAATAATAATTAATTAATTAATTAATAAAAAAATAAAACTAAAATCGAAAGCCTGACTCCGGTATTTGAGAGTTGGGATCAAACTCAAAGGTATTTTCGTTGTTGCCTTTGGGCAACACAATGGGATCCTCTTCATTGTCATCGGAGAAGAATTGGTCAATGATTTCGTACGCTAGTTTGTAGATGTCTTCGTTTTCGTGATTCTGTAGCGGTTCGATTCGGTCGAGTCCACCGCACTTTTCGATTTCGGTAGCAATCGACGCGTACTGAGTGCCGGCCATCTTCAAGACATTCATCAGTGCGTCCAAAACCACTTGAACTACCTGTGCATCTTTGACTGTTAGCAGTACGCACAACGGTTCGATAACACCCTGGTCGACCAGATAAGAGATCTGTGCTTTGCTTCCCGAAATGGTCAGATTGCTTACCGCCCAGGCAGCCTCACGCTGGGTAAGGAACTCACTTTTGGCCAAATGATGTACAATCAATGGTATAAGTCCGGCGTCGATCACTGCCTGGACCTGCTGTTGATTGCCGGCCGTAATATTTGATAGAAACCAAACTGCTTCTTTGTTGATCTTTTCTTTCTGGTGAGTCAATAGATTGTGGAAGTAAGACAATGCGTTACAATTGAGTACCATTTGTGTCTGTTCATCAGTTCCGGTAACTATATTGCCTACAGCTCTCAAGGCGGCTGTTTGTACTTTAACTTCTCGATGATTGAGAAGCGGTACTAAATTGGCTACAATACCGCTATCGATTACTAACTGAATTTGATCGTTGCCACCATCGGTCAGATAGGATACAGCCCAGACTGTGTCCACTAGTATGGCAACGTCGGTATGATTTATCAGATAGGCTAACGCTGGTAACAATCGCTGAATGGTGTCGACTGTTGGCGGCGGATCTTTGTTACGGCAAAGGTTTACTATAACCCACGTCACGTTACGCAGGAATGACAGCGACATATCCGGTTTGATTAGCTCAAGAAGCGGATCGACAACACCTAATTTGATTACATAATCTCGAAGTTGGGGTCCGTCGCCGATGATGTTGCCCAACGCCCAGACGGCCTGCTCGCAGACATTTTCGTTGGGCGAATGAAGTAGTTCGAGAAATATGGGAACCGCGTTGGCTTCGACAACGGCCCGTGTTTGCTGTGCCGTTCCCGACGCTATGTTAGTGAGAGCCCAGGCAGCCTCAAACTGTAGAGCTGGCGATGTTTGCTGTTTGAGACAGTCGACCAAAATCGGTAATATACCCGATCGGATCAGTTCGTCGATCGGCGGGTTTTTATCACTTGACAATAGTTTTCGGGCGGCTTTGACGGCATTCAGCTTTTCATCGATATTATCACTGGCAGCAGATGTCACAATTGCCTGCAAACTTGTAAAGTCTTGTGTCGATTCTGGTTCGGGTAGACTATCGTCAACATTGGGTACGTTTCTCCTCTTCTGCAATGTTTCGTCTCTTTTGTTTTTGCGTAACTCTATAGACATTTCATTACGACGTCTTCGCATTTCGTCGGCATCTTTGCCCTTATTCTTGAAATTCTGTTGTCTGGTCGCCGAAAGTTGTTTGTTATTAGTCGAGTCCATAGCGGCGGCTGCGGCTAACACATCCAGAAGCGGCCAACACTGAAGACAGGCACAGACAGACAGACACACAAAGACGATATCAAACAAACAAAAAAAACTAAATATGACTTAAAATACGTTTTTCTTCTTCTTCTACTTCTTCTTCCGATTTCTTTTGTCAAAAAATAACAATTATCTGTAAAAAACAAAAAATATGATTAAATAAAAATAAGTTTTTTTTATTAAAAAAAAAATCAATTAATTGACACAAACTTTTGGTGTTATCGTTGACGACGACAACGACCACACAAAACAAAGATTATTATTATTTATTTAAACACACAATAAATAAAATTTAAAAATAAAATTATATAAAAAAAATTAATTTAATTTAGTTTTTTTGCGATCAAATAAATTGTTTGCACAAAATCAATGTGTGTTTGTCTTCACACCACGCGATTGATTGATTGATTGATTGACCCGATCGGTAGTGGATATATGATTACCGCCGACACTATCCGATAAACAAAAATCAATTACCGGTCAAAAAAAAAAAAGTTTAGTTTAAATGAACCGACAATTCAGTCAAACAATAATCTTAATGTATGTCTGACTGACTGATTGATTGAATGAATGGACATTTGATTTTAATATATGAAATGTAATGTATTTGTTGTTTGAATTATTTGTATTATTATTACAGTATTATTGTGAATATAAAGGGATTTTTCAACGGCCATCACATTTAATACATGACTGGCTATTCATATAATACATTACAAACCATATCATGGATGCGCTTTGTTTGACATTTTTTTTTATATATATTAGTGTAAATTTAATACAGTATTTAGTAGTTTTAAATGCATGGATAAAACACAAATATATATTCACATATTACGTTACACTGTGTAACAAAATGTACAACAATTATTCTACTAGGGGTGGGGGAGGGAATGGGGGAAATTAATGATAATAATGTTATTCAACTCTTTGTATATATTTAATATATATATATTTTATATTATTTATGCTAGGGTATATTATTAATATATTAATATATTATTATTTTTTACTTTTATAATTTTCTAGAAGTTTTTTTTATCAAACTTTAGTTTTTTATTTAAAATTTTACTGTATGTGTGATAGTGCGGAATATTCCTATATAGACATGTGTGTGAATGTGTGTGTGTGTGTGTGTGAATGTGTGTGTGTGTGTGTGTGTGTGTATTTGTGAATGTGTGTGTGTGTGTGTGTGTGTGTGTGTGTGTGTGTGTGTGTGTGTGTGTGTGTGTGTGTGTATGTGTGAATGTGTGTGTGTGTGTGTGTGAATGTGTGTGTGTGTGTGTGTGTGTGTGTATTTGTGAATGTGTGTGTGTGTGTGTGTGTGTGTGTGTGTGTGTGTGTGTGTGTGTGTGTGTGTGTGTGTGTGTGTGTGTATGTGTGAATGTGTGTGTGTGTGTGTGTGTGTGTGTGTGTGTGTGTGTGTGTGTGTGTGTGTGTGTGTGTGTGTGTGTGTGTGTGTGTAAAATAAATGCAGATTATAAGGACTCACTAATTTTGCATTAAATACGTTGTATTAATTAATTGAATGAAATAAATTAAATTAAATTAAATATATATTACACGAGCGTATTGTTGAAAATTACTAAATAATTGTTTGTCGCGTTACCTAACCTTACCTAACCTAACCTGGAGTTCGCATCGCAATCTAACCTAATATTCAATGATATTAATACAACGTATTTAATGCAAAATTAGTGAGTCCTTATAATCTGCATATATGTGTGTGTGTATGTATGTGTGTATGTATGTATGTATGTATGTGTATGTGTGTGTGTGTGTATGTGTGTGTGTGTATGTGCATGTATGTGTGTATGTATGTATGTATGTGTGTGTATGTCTGTGTATGTGTATGTGTATGTGTATGTGTATGTGTATGTGTATGTGTATGTGTATGTGTATGTGTATGTGTATGTGTATGTGTATGTGTATGTGTATGTGTATGTGTATGTGTATGTGTATGTGTATGTGTATGTGTATGTGTATGTGTATGTGTATGTGTATGTGTATGTATGTATGTGTGTATGTATGTGTGTATGTGTGTGTATGTGTATGTATGTGTGTATGTATGTGTGTATGTGTGTGTATGTGTATGTATGTGTGTATGTATGTGTGTATGTGCATGTATGCGTGTATGTATGTATGTATGTGTGTGTATGTGCATGTATGTGTGTGTATGTATGTATGTGTGTGTGTGTGTGTGTGTGTGTGCATGCATGTATGTGTGTATGAATGTATGTGTGTGTGTATATATATGTGTGTGTGCATGTATGTCTGTGTATGTATGTATGTGTGTGTATGTGCATGTATGTGTGTGTATATATATGTGTGTGTGCATGTATGTATGTGTGTGTATATATATGTGTGTGTGCATGTATGTCTGTGTATGTATGTGTGTGACTAATCTAATTATGGTGCATGCTCATAACTGACAAAATAATAAAAAATTTAATATTTTATTAAAAATAATCTAGCAGGTTGAAAAATTAAAATTGATATATTTTATCAATTGATTGTAAATCATAAACATTTAAAAAAATATTTTTATTTTTTTGTGTGTTGTTTTTGAAGACTTTGATACCACAGTTACTGTCGAAGACTGGTCTGTCAATTATAGGAAAGGTATTTAAACAAAACAACAACAAAAAAAAAGTTTGTCCACACAATTGTCACATTCAACTATAATATCATCACATATATGCAAAATGTCACAAACAATTGATTTTAAGATCCAAGCCGTCAATCAATCGTTCGGCGCTTTCAAAAGTGGTCAGTATTTTATTGTTGACATTACTTGAAATTATTGAATGAATGAATTGTTTTTTTTTGTTTAGCCGAAGAACAAGAATGGAAAGAACCGTTTGTTTTCATACAGAGCGCAGACACACAGTTAGGTCTTATCGACGACTACTTCAAGAATCCGAATCCAAACTGGAATAAAGAAATTCAATTAACCAGAGATGCCATTCGTGCGGCTAATCAAATGCAACCGAAACCCAAGTTTTTCATTGTTTGCGGCGATTTAGTTAACGCAATGCCCGGACACGCCGACAGATTGCCACAGATTGTCGACTTTAAGAAATGTTTTCAAGATCTGAATAATGATATACCATTGGTATGCGTTTGCGGCAATCATGATGTCGGCGATAATCCCACTGTCGATACGGTTAAAGACTATCGCCGCGAGTTTGGCGACGACTACTTTGCTTTTGTCTGCTCTGGTGTTATGTTTGTTGTCTTGAATTCGCAATATTTCAAAGACATTACACATGTCGGCGATTTGGCTGAACAACAAAGCAAATGGTTGGACACTGTTCTCGAAGAATATCGTCGTAATAGTAGTTACAAACATTTGGTTGTCTTCCAACACATTCCGTGGTTTCTAGAAAAGGCCGACGAAGATGACAACTATTTTAATGTTGACAAAGAGTTGCGACTGAAAATGTTGGACAAGTTATACGAAGCCGGCGTTCGCTATATATTTACCGGTCATTATCATCGAAACGCCGGCGGTATGTATAAGGACATGGAATTGGTGGTCACTTCGGCTATTGGCGCACAATTAGGTACCGATCGGAGTGGTCTCAGAGTTGTCCGCGTTTACGATAAGTCTATTCAACATAAATATTATGCCATCGAAGACATACCCAAACAGATTGTGTTTTAATTGTTTTTTAATATATATATATATATATATATATCTCTATATTAGTTAATAATTATTTATGTTTAAAAAAAAAGTTTAGTCATTAGCTATTTTATCTTTTATTAGTGAATATATTTTAATGTATTATAGATGTTAAATACTTATATATTAATAATTATGAAATTATATAAATTTATATTTTTTAGCTATTTTTTTAATTGAATAATTTTGTAATTTATTAAAATTCTATATTATTTTTATATATTTTAGAATGAATATCTATTTTAATAAAAAACCAGTTAAGAATGCTAGAAAGCATTTTCAGAAAAAAAACTTGAATAGCATTGAAAACCATTAGTTTGTATAATTATAGCGGCTATATAGTAACATATAAAAATTTAAAAACTGGTCAAATATACATAATTTAAATAGTCATGTAGAGTATACTACTGTATATTGTCATGCTCTAAACAATTCTAAACGTTAAAATTTTTACTTAAATTTTTTTACTTTGGCCACCATTTTGTCTATGTTCCCGAAAAGATAGATCATTTTTGATGCAACTTTTAAATGCATTATTAGTAGTCCTCTAACCGAATCTGAAGTCAGAATTTCAAAATTCGCAAAAAATATGCTACAGACAGACAAACAGACACAAACAAAAAGGCATTATAGATTTCAGTAAACAAAACTTCAAGTTTTTTTTGAAAATAAAGTATACAAAATATACAAACAATTTAATAATTTTAATTAAAAATCAAATTATTATTACCGGTAATATATATATATATATATATATATAATATATATAAATCTATTTAGATCTCTATATTAGTTTTATTTATATTAAATTATTTATATATAATTTTTAAAATAAAAGTTTATTCATTAGATATTTTATAAATGTTTTTTTTGTAGTGAATATATTATACAGCTTTTAATATACTATTTTTTAAAATTGAATAATTGTCTAATTTTAAAAATCGATATTTTTATATTTAACTAAAAAATTAAATGTCTATTTTAACAAAAATAAAGTTTATATAAGTTATTTGCAAACAATAAAGTATATTTAATTAGTCTATGCATTTTATTGTCAATATTTTGATAAATACTATGTTTTAATTTTGATTATAAATATAAGTATATTTATTATGTTGTAATTTAATGTAAAACTAAAACTGTGAAACAAATAGGCGTCAAATTACTTGAGTCATTGGTTGTAATTTTAGTGGTAATAAACAAAAATTTAATTTAATATCACTTTTAAAAAACATAAAATACATTATATGTATAATTAATTTAATTAATGTTACAATAAATGCATGTTTTCAATAATAATTATATATAAAACTAATAACATTTTTACAGTTTAAAAAATTAATTCACATAAAAAACTTTATATTATTAATAGTAATTATGATATCAATAATCAACAACAACAACAAACTAATAAATGTATTGTAGTTATAATTTTTGCTATTATTTTTGGCTTAAAAAAAGTTTTTTAAGGGTATATTAAAAAACACAATTTCTGATTAAATATTATTAAAATTACTATCTCTCAGACAATAACGTTATATTTATATATTAAAAAAAATGTAATATTTAATAATGTAGTAATAATACTCATAGGACATAGTATTAATTTTTTTTGTAACTTTATTGTATGACTAATACATGTATTAGTAATTAATTAAAAGTAAATGCAATATAAAAATTATTTTGTCTATTAATGTAAATATTAATATATTAAAAGGATTCATACATTAGTTGTCTAAACGCATACATCAATAGTGTAATGCATTATACATATTATGTATTACATAATACAGTATATTCATTGTTAGTACAGTTATAGAACACTACACTACAGTATAATAAAGCAAACAAAACAAACAATAAATACATTACTATTACTTTTACTGTATTCTTCTAAACTTAAAGTTCTAAAACAAAAATTCATATATTATTAGTAAATATAATAATCGTATAATAAATATATGAATATATAAAATGAATGATTAGTTTTGTACTGAAAAAATAAAACACAAATAATAATAATATGAGTGATAATAACCACAACAACAACAATAGTAATAATAATAATAATAATAATAACAGCAATAACAGCGATGAACACCACTTCAGACGCGCCCACAGTTTAGATCCGACAATGACTGACAACACAGACAATACCAGTGCCGCCGCCGACAGAGACGGAAAGACTGGCGGCGGCGGTGGTGGTGGCCATCGGGCGGCATCCGTTCACGTGAATCCATTGTTCAATGTTCCGCACAACGCATCCGTACGCCGACAGGTATCGGAACCGACAGATCTACGACATCGAGTTGTACGCAATGTTAGCCGAACTGAATCTATCAGAGAGTAAGAGAGTTATCTTAAATATACCACTGATGATGGATTGTGACCATTGAATGGTACTTGAATTAACTGATTAATTGTTTTTAATTAATTCATTCAATGATAATAGTAATGTCATAAAACACACCAAACAGTTCTTCGGCATCGATAACAATCCGTCCAACGATGAGATTTGGCGACAACGGCGTCAAAGACTATTGCGTAACTTTGGACGAGTTAGACAACCGGTTTCAGTACGGGATTCAATCTTTTATTTTAATTTTTATTGTTAACTCTTTCTGTCATGTCTTTAATGTCCGATATTTTATTTTTCGTACCATTTTTTTTGTTGATAGGAAGAGCCCATTCAGATGTCCACTAGAATGGGAACAATCGAATCTTCAGGTTTTGATGAAATTGACGGTGTTTTAGCTACTAATAAACTAACGGATATTATAGAAAACAGACAACAACTCATGACAGAAGCGACGACGACAACAGTTCCACAGGAAGACACTGCCAGACGGCCGGCACTTAAGATAACATTCAAAGCGATCGCAATGGCGTCCAATGTAAATGTCCTATTTTGTTGGTCATTGAATTATTTTGTTTGCTGTTGTAGTAGTTAAATGGTAAAAAATTAAATACTAAATCTAATTATTATTATCAATCAAACACAAAAAAAGGCACTGAAAAATAGTTTATCAACTCGTGCTGACCAACAAACAACAGCAGCGACACCCGAATCAGATGACGAAACATTGGATATAAGAGCCGGCGGAGGCGGCGGCGGATCACAAACTTTAACGACGGCCGACAGTGTTTTCTATCCATCAGCCGAAATGGTCGGACAAATTGATGACGACTTCTTTTATCAACCAACTCAAGTGCCTGAAGAAGAAGATGAAGAGGAAGAACACAATGAAGTCGATGGTCGATACGCTCGATCAGCAATGCAACGACCAATTGGTTGGCATATTGATAGACAAGAATCTATTCGTGAAGAGAAAACATTTCAACAGATGGTATCCATAAGAAAATAAAATAAATTTTATGTTTAAAAATTTGTTTTGTTTTCTCTTAAAATATCTGCAATTGTTTAGCTCATTGACAAACTTCTTAATACGGATAACTCTAATCGTAAACATTTCGGTCAGGGATTTATCGATCGATTATTAGGTCGAAGAGCTAAAGAAGATTTGACTAAAGAAGAACGCAAAGCTGTTGAGGATCACATCGACGACTTTCGGCCATTCTTTACCTATTGGATAACAACTGTCCAGATATTGATTATGATTATAGCGCTGTCTTCCTATGGTTTCGGTAGTATTGGCACTGGTTTTGAACAAATCAATGGTTTGGTTTATGTCAAGAGTTTGTCCCTACAACAGGTCGACTACTTTGAATCGAGAAATTTTTGGATCGGACCGCGAGCTGTGAGTGAAAGAGATATTCAAAAAATAATAATTATTATCACATTTTGTTACAATAGGCTGATCTCATACATCTGGGAGCAAAATACACGCCATGTATGCGAAAGGATCAGAAAATTTATGACATTATTGATGATGAAAGAAGAGCTGAACGAGAGACTGGTTGTTGTATAAGAAATGACAACTCGGGTTGTGTTCAGACATTCAAAGATAAATGTTCTGTACGTTTGATATAAACAATACCTGTGATGATATGTTTGCAATGAAATGTTGTTTTTATATATTTATTTGATAAGACCCTGTTGTCGACATGGTACAAATGGGACGGCCATAACTCACTACAACGATCATCGGGACCCGTATGCGGTCAGGACCCGCGTTATTGTGAACAGCCAGCATCTATTGATCCGTACCAATGGTCCGACGATATAACTAAATGGCCGGTAAGTGTTATTTATTTCATTGAAATGAATTGCAATTAATTACCTTGGTATTATTATTTTTTTTTTTGATAACAAAAAACAAACTACCCCTTAGATTTGCCGCAAACGAGGTTCACCCTACTCATATTATGAAAAACATATGAACTGTGAGCTAATTGCCCGTCCCTGTTGTCTCGGTATTTACGGTACAGTAAAACCAATTTATCTTTTTTTAAAAATATTTATTATTAATTCATAAAATCCTAATTTAATAAACAAAAAAATTGTTTGTTTGTTTTGTTTGGTAGGTGAATGTCACATAACAACTCGTGAGTATTGCAATTTCATAAAAGGAAGATTTCACGAAGAGGCCACTCTATGCTCACAAGTAGATCCATAATTATATTAATTTCTTAAATTAAGATTTTTCAAAATAATTTTTTAATTACTGGTAACAAATTTTTTGTTTGTTGATAAATAGGTGTCGTGTATGCGTGATGTTTGCGGAATGATTCCATTCTATACGGACGACAGTCCCGACCAATTCTATAGGATATGGACACCAATCTTCTTGCACGCCGGTATCCTACATCTAGCGATTACAGTACTGTTTCAATACTTTATAATGAGAAAGATTGAAAAAAATATCGGTTGGCTGCGCTTATCGATCATCTACTTTGGATCGGGTATTGGCGGCTATCTGGCCAGTGCTGTATTCCTTCCATGGAAGGGTGAAGTTAGTGTTATATAGTATACTGTATAACAATTGTATTAAACTATTTTTTATATATAAAAAAAAGGTGGGACCAGCCGGTTCTCTATACGGAGTGATGGCCTGTTTTTTCATTGAACTAATCAACATGTGGTCATATATGGAAAATCCTGTACACGTTTTGCTCAAACAATTGCTAGTGGCCGGTGTCCTACTTATATTGGGTTTCCTACCCTGGATAGACAACTATGCCCACATCGCCGGCTTTATTATCGGTTTGCTATTGTCGGCCGCAGTGATGCCATACATTCAACTGAGTAGTTCCAAAATGACACCAACTCATCGTATCATACAAATAGTTGGTTGTTTGCTAACTGTCCTATCGATTATAGTCATACTGTTTGTCATGTTATATAAATATCCCATTTATGACATTAAATTTTTCAAATATTTGAATTGTATTCCACTGACGGGTGACTGGTGTGCAAATCAGGACATCCAAAAGTACCGAAGCGATGTCCTATAGTCAGATAGTATCCATATATATACTGTATATAATGTATATACAGTATTATCCTATTATATAGAGTATATACACTATAAATTTATATATATTTTTGATATTAAATATTCTAATAATTATTGCAGGGAGATATAAAGATAAACTATAAATATTAAATACTATTATTTATAATTCCAGTAATATTTAAGCATTTAATTTTTATATATATATTTTTTGTGTTACAAATTAAACAATCGAAAGCATTATAATTCATATTATTTATAAAAATGTATATAACATTTGCTAATCAAATAAATACAAATTAATACAATTTTTTTTACTAATATACATATTTTATTAGAAATATACAATTATATGTAGATATTATTTACCGTATTTATATAATATTATTAATAAAATGTATTTTCTTATAAATTCTAAATAAACTTTTTTAATTATTCAAACAATTTATGACATTATTTTTTTTGCTATTGGAGTAACCAATTACCGATAATATGATGTAATTTTATTATCATATTACTGGTAATTATATTGTAATTTTGTTATACAGGTATATTTTTAAAAAATATTAAAGTTGACGTAATAATAATTATGATACAAATTAGATAAACATATATTGATAAAAAAAATTGTATTAAAATATATACAGTACTGTATATTATACAGTGTGTATAATATATTTTTTAGATAGTTTATAAATTAGTTATTTGTGGGATATTAAACATAAATCAATTTACAATAAAGTAAATTGTTTGGACATTTTTTGTTGTTGTTGGAAAAATACTTTATTTTTTAAACTTGTTTTTTTGAAAACTTTATTAATATTGACTTGGTTAATAATAAAAAAAAACATTGCAAATTAAAACACAAGGTTATTAAAAATTAGTAAATTAGTATTAATTAATTAAAAATAATGGTATTAATAGTTTAAAAATATTATCAAAGAATTAAGTATGGTGTTTTTTAAAAAAATAGGGGGCGAAAAATATAGGGTGGGTTAATAAGGTGGGTCAAAATTTTTGTATACATATATAATCTAAAATAATATTATCGTATAATATTGAACAGTAAATGTATTTAAATAATAAATTTCCAGTAATTTAATTATAAATAATAAACAAAATGTTGATTTACTTATACACAAATAAGTTATCAGTTTTTTTTGTACAAAAATTAATTATATACACAACAACTTCACCCCTAAAAAAATCAATTCAAACCCCAAACAACCATAAAAACAATTGAATACAATATAACAATACATATAATATAACTTATCGTCTTTTAGTTCCGCCAAAACCCGATGTCGTAGTTGTCGTCGATGACGATGAACTATAACCACCCGAAGGCGATGAAAACGGCGAACTTCTAGTGTGTCGTCGATCGAAGTACGAACTCTGGTCATTGTAGTTGGTATTAGTTCGCGAACCAAACAAATAGCCGAGAGCTCCGCCGGCCAATATTCCCGAGAAAAATCCGTTACCATTGTTAGCCGCTCTAGTTTGCGGACCTTCGGTGTTGAACCCATAGCTGGGACCCGAAGATGAAAAACTGGAACCACAACCACTACCACTACCGGGACTGTTGTTGTCGTAGTAGTCCGATCGGAATCCGGGCGGCGGTGGAGCTCGCGTTGAGCTGCGTGGCGGCTGACCAGTGGGTGGATCGCGATTTGGTCGCCGAAGACATACATAGTATATGATAAATATGAGGGCAACGGCTGTTAGGATAAACCCGAATGAAAAGCCTTTTGTCGGTTTGCTTTTCAGATTACTGTAGACGTAATCACTAGCAAATCCTCCGCCGCCGCCACTCGACTCTATGGAGTACTCGAGTCCGCACGAGCCGACCAACACATAGTCGTCGTCGGGATAGTCGTAACCCTCGCAGATTACGTCAACGGTTCCAAACTTATAGTTACTGTTGATCTGTGCCTTACATTCCCACTGAACATCTCTTCCGTCTGATCCGCGATTATAGCACTGAACATTTTGGCCCCGAATGGCGTCGCAATGGCCGCCAATACATTTGAGTTGCGGCACAGAACTCGAGCGGCGGCCAGTTGTCCACTCGTTCGGGCGCAGTGTCAATACCTGGACATCTTTCAATTTGATCTTATCCTTGCGACAGTCGACACCCAAACCGCCGATGAAAGCGATGATGATTATCATCGTCGTCGTCGCCGATAAAAACATTGGTGACCAATAAATTGTTGGCGAAATTAACTTCTTGGTGGTCATCATTGAAACGGTAATCACCCGATCGATAGTCTGTTGTAATTGTATAGATCTGTTGACAATATATATAAGATATCAATTGAAAATCACTTAATGTATGACTCAATCAATCAGTCAATTACTGCTGATATTAATAATAAAAAAAAACCAAATGATTGTCAAGACTTGTCTATCACTGATTGGATGTATTTCTTTGACTATTCATTACGTCATTAAACTATTTGAAGGAAAGAATTGGTAAACAAATAGTCACGTCATAAGTGAACAGTCAGTCCATCAGTGAATCACATGTTGTTTTCAGTGGTCTTTAAAAATCCATGTGTTGTTTGTGTCGTATGTCTTATAAGTCGATCACTAATTTGATCCATCAATTGACAGATCAATCGATCGATTAAAGTGATAGTTAATTGAGATAAGGAAGAAGCAAAAGAAGAAGAGATGGTCAAAGACAACGATCCGTCGGACGAGCGTTTTGCTCATGTGTTAACTGATCCCAGATTTCGGACACTTCGCAAAAGTGACAAAAAAGTTAAAATCGATAAACGCTTTCAGAAGTTGTTTACCGAAAAAAGATTTCAATTGAAACACGCGGTCAACAAAAGAGGTAAACGCGTGAAGAATGCCGACAGCTATAAGAAGATGTATGATTTGGACGATGAAGAAGAAGAAAAACAAGAAAAACAAGAAGAAGACAAAGTTGTTGAAGACAAACGTGAAGATGTGATTGACAATGACGTTAATAATGATGAAGAAGTGGCCATTGAAACGATAATTCCAAAGAAACCAAAAGTTATGAACGCAAGAGGAGACGATTCAGATGAGGACAGCGACAACATATCGAGTAGCAGTGAATCAGAAGAGGACAGCGATGTCGATGATGAAGACAGTCAAGAGATTGACCACAATTGGAACGAATGGGCCAAAGATGTTCCGCAAACAGAAGTGGCGACCAAACGATTTGCCATTTGTAACATCGATTGGGATCGTATTAATGCAACCGATTTGTTTGTTTTGATCAATTCGTTTAAGCCGTCCGGCGGTTCCGTAGTGTCGGTCAGAATTTTTCCGTCGGAGTTTGGTTTGCAACGAATGAAAGTGGAGGCCGAAAAAGGTCCGATTGAGTTCATTAAGGCCACCAAAAGTGATACTAATATTATTGACAATGATATTGAAACCAGTGATAATGAAAAAGATGAGAACAATGAAGATGTTGATGACGACGATGAAGAGATTAAAAGTTCGGAAGAACTGAGAAAGTATGAGTTGGAACGACTGAAGTACTACTATGCAGTGGTTGAGTGCGATAATGGCGGCACCGCTGATGTACTTTACAAAGAAATTGATGGTATGGAGTACGAGAGCAGTTCGTCGACACTCGATCTTCGCTTTATTCCCGATGACATGACTTTCGGTGATGAAGAAGGGGTGGTACCGAAGTCTGAGTGCTACGCTATGCCTGATATGACCACATATAAGGCGCCACAGTTTATCAACAGTGCTCTTCAGCAGAGCAAAGTACGAATGACTTGGGATGAAACAGATCCCAAACGTAAGAATGCATTCGAACGTGCGTTCGATGCTAAAGACGACGGCGACGACTTGAAAGCATATTTAGCCACTTCTGATGAAGAGGACGAGGAAGAAGATGATGAGGAAATAAATGAAGAGAAAGAAGAAGAAGATGCTGAGACAGTTCCTGGAGGCGACACAATCGTTAAAACTAGAGAAAAGATTAATAAATATAAAGAACTATTGTTTTCATTAAATGAACCAAAAAATGGTAAGAAGAATGGTGACAATGACGACGACGACATCGATATGGAGGTTACGTGGGAACCAAATCTCAATCAAATGGCTGAAGATGTGGTCGAAAAGAAAGAGCGAAAAGATTGTTCAGTATTTGAACAAAAATATTTGGAAAATAAGGACAAACGTAAACAAAATAAAAGAAAACAACAATCAGATGATGAAGAAGAAGAAGACGAAGAAGAAGAGTTGGGTGATAGCGATAAAGATGTTAAAGAGAGTAACTTCAATGATAATAATGATAATAATAATAATAATAATAATAATAATAATAATAGCAAAAAACGTAAGAATAAGCATAAGAAGAAAAATGATAGAAACTCATCAAAGACTGATCCAGAACTGGAACTACTACTTATGGATGGAGAAGAAGTCGATGAGAAGAGACATTTTAACTATAAAACTATTGTCGAAAATGAAATGAAAAAGAAAAACAATAACAAACCTAAAGATTCATTTAAAGTAAGTGTTGTTATAATGAAAATAATAATTGCTTTTAATTGTAATTATTTTTTGTTGTTTTTTTATTTCAATTTAATTAACAGTTTGACTCCGACGACCCGCGTTTCGGAGCTGTTTACACATCACATCACTATAATGTCGATCCATCTGATCCACACTTTAAGCGAACCGAAGCATTCGAGCAGATAATGAAAAAATCAAGAGAGAAAAGTTTGTCTAATGAAAGACAAAGACAACAAGAGAAGAGTCAACAATCATCCAATAATAATGATAACAATGGCTTAAGAAGTTCGTGGACACATCTGGTAAAGACTGTTAAGAATAAGTCGAAACAATTGTCCGAAACTAATAAAACAACGAATAAAAAATCGATGAAAAAATTCAATATCAAACAAAATAAATTCAAAAGTTAAACAATTTTTATTAATTTAATTATAATACACACTATAATCTACATTATATTTTTTTGCAAATAAAATACAATTTATTATTATTATTATTATTAACTAAACAATTAAAACAAATCGATTCCCTAATAATTATTTCAAATATTAATAATATATTTTTATATCTGTTTTGAGTCAATCAAATCCCTAATATATTTACTGTATGTCAGAAGACATTTACTTATTAAGCTATTGTCCAGCTTTGGCCTTCTTCTCTGCTTCTCTTCTCTCGAAAATAAGTCGATGTTTTTGTTTCATAAAAGCGTCGACAACAGTATGAAAGTGTCCCAAATCTCCATCTGATCCAAACAAATGTTGGAATTAGAGAAAAACATATATTACTACCGATAAGATAATGGCAGATATATATAACTAACTGGCCTTTAAAAAAACTATTTGGGTAATTGTTTGCTCAAAATCAATCTATACAAGTGTGTGTCTAATACTGTGTCTTATATCAAATTAAACAAAAAAATGGACATACATTTGATGTAATAGTTGAGTTGGGCGTCATCGTAGTCTTTCTTCTCCTTCACACAGATCGGTATATTGTCTCTAAGGTGAGAGAAGTCGTTGACATTGCGGACATAAGTCGTACAATTGACAAAACGATAGCGCAATATATTGATGATCTGTCCGTCAACTTTCCTGAAAGAGAGAGAGAGAGAGAGAGAGAGAGAGAGAAATCAAAAATAAGATATAAATTGTTTAATTGGTCAAAGAAGTTGAAAACAATATGGTGTGTATCTGTCTGGACTGGACTCCGGAAGCATATAATTTATATCCTAATCTCATACTTGTCTCGTTTGTATTGTTCATTGGCCTCATAGATGCAGGCCTGGTCATCGGTATAGCATTGGTCAACAGTGGGTACCCGACGAAAGCGTTTGTGGTAATAGTATTGTTTGGGTCCGCGATATTTTTCAACAACATTGTCTAAATTTGTGTCAATTGTATTAAAAAAAATGATTAACATATTATCAGTTGACAACAACACTATCACATTCAATGGATTAGTCCATCAAAATGTGATCAAATTATCCTTACGTCTGATCCATTCAACGGGTCCGTCGACAACAGCGGCAATCACTTTAAACGCTTTGACGGCCGGACTCTGGACCATATCGTCCAATATCGGTGTCTCAAACATGTCATTCATGCGGATCTCTTTCTTTTCTCTGTCATTTTCTTCCGGCATTGTGTCTTGTCTTCAGATGTCTTCAATTGAATCGGTTTTTTTTAATATGAATTGAAACTATAATTTCAATGCAATTATTATTTGTATTGACTTTGTTTTGTTATTACTGTTTATAAACACATTATATAAACATAGGCTATAAAATCCAATACACATATAGCGTACACATAAATATATAGTACTGTATATAAACAGTATATAGCACTGCTTTCTACTGACATACTGTACTTATTAGATTCTGTTCTATATAGACATTGTGTACAGTGTGTGCTCATATGTTTGCAATGAAACCTAATTATTTTTTATCCAACTAAACATTTAAACCATTATTTGATTTTTTAAAACTATTTGATTTTTTTTATTATTAATAGTATCGTAATTATGATGATTACAATAATTTTATTTTTTTTTTAAATGTATTAATTTAATATAAGTATGAATATATTATATTTGTTGAGTTTTTTTAAATTGAAAAAAATATTTTTTTAAAATTACTTGAAATTATACATTAATTACTTGAAATTATTTATAAATTAGAGTAATTGTATGAATTTATTTTAAATTTATATATATGTAGATATATTTTTTAAAACTTTTAACTAAACAGTACTTATTGTAAAATTATTTATTTTATTTATTTATTTTTGAAAAAAACTACTAATATATTGTCTGGGTAATTTTTTCTCTCAATTATTTCAAATTAAATTTAATAATAAAATTCCGATCAAAGTTGTTGAGAGTTTTGAATTTATTTTATCAAAAAAAAAAAAAAATCAATATTATATTTTGACAATATATATACATGTATATATAATTACGTAATTATATATAATATGACCTGGGCAAATTTTGTTTTAGGAAAAAAATTGGTTCAATTTTTGTTGTCGTTATTACAAACAAAGAAAATACACACAAAAATTTCTATACAAAAAAAAAACTTAACTAATAATATGATTATTATTATTATAACTATAGCTCTTATATATATATACAGTAAGTCCGGGTAAAAGGTATGTTAGAAAAAACTGGTGTTTTTTCTTCTGTAAAAGGAATGGTATGATTAGGTGTTGTCATGTAATACCTGTTGAGTCGGTTATATAGTATGTATTATACTGTATATTGAGTGCAAAACCAGACCTACTCTGTACACAAATACATAGCATTTAAGTGGTAAGTATGCCATACATTACATACACATTCTCTGCACAACCATTTCATTCAAACTATACATACATTCAATTGATTTTGTCTGTGAAAAGGCTGTGCTCTCTCTCTCTCTCTCTCTCTCTCTCTCTCTTTGCTTCTCTATGTCTATCAAATCCCAGCTCTCCATTCACATACACACATATATACACACACATACAGTGTTGATGACCTACCAGTGCGAGCGCATACCCATCACACATATTATACATAGACGACAAACACATACAAATAACTGCCAGTGCTATCCGTGAAAAAAACCTATTGTCAAATAATAATAATATCTGGCCATTAATTGCCGTAATTGTCCGTAATATATAGGACATTAAGACACGGCTTAGGTTTGGTTTTAAATTACTTCCAACATATCATTCAAGAAGTAGATCCACGCGTCTCTCTCTCTATAAGAGGTAGGTTAACATATATTCTTAGATAATTAAATCATAAATGGTTTGATCCACACATTTCTGGTACCAATTTATTTTGTTGACCAATTTGTGTTGGACTATCAATTAAGATATCACTTATTAATTAATTAATTAATTATCTAATTTGATTGTAACTTCTGGTTCTTCAAACACATCCGTATATATCATATACAGAATCTGTTGGTCCAAAAAACCCTATTATTTGAATGGTTTAGTGTTAGTGTTTGTGTGTTGTGTTGTCTATGATGTCATTGATGTCGATGATGGCACAGCAATACTGTCTCAAGTGGAACAATCACACCAATAATATGGTCAAAGTTTTTAACCAATTGCTCGACGACCAAGACTTTTGCGACGTAACTCTGGCAGTCGATGGCACCTTCTTGAAGGCCCATAAGCTGGTACTGTCCGCTTGTAGTTCATATTTCAAGGATCTGTTTGTATCCAATCCGTGCAAACATCCGATTGTTATACTCAAAGACATACGTCTGGATGATCTGAAAGCTATCATCAATTTTATGTATTGCGGCGAAGTAAACGTCTCGCAGAACCAATTGGCGGCACTGTTGAAGACGGCAGAGATACTCAAAGTCAAAGGACTGACTGAAGTCAATGACAAACAAACAGATTCGTTGTCGACACCGACCAATAAGTCGGTGGTCAACAACAGCAACAACAACAACAACAGTAACAATAAGAGTACAAATGACACGCAATTATCTTCAGCATCATTACAGCCGATGACACCGATGTCGACAACAACTATGTCGGGTGTTGTGACCAGAAAGAAGAGAAGAAGACGAGCCAATCATACGACAAACAGCAATAACAACAACAATACATCACTTTCCGGTGAAAGCGATACCATGATGTCTGGCGAAAGTGATGACAGTTGTTGTGGTGACGAATCGTTAATTCAAAAGAAATCAAAAGATAATAACAACTCACCACTGTCTGATACGTCGACCTCGCGATCGGCAAAATTGTCTTCCGATGCCAATGTGACCAATAAATCGACGCCCAATAAATGTGATTCATCTCAAGTATTAAATATCATTCAAACCCGACGGCGACAGCAATCGTTTCAGCAACAGTTGATGGAAACAGCGGTTGCCAATCGTGACGACGACATCGACGCCAATGATGAATCACTACTAATGGATCCCAACAGTGAACACCATCACCACCAACAACAACAGCGAGTTAATAACGGAAATGTATTGATTGATTGAATTGTTTTAAAAATCTTTAATTACCGCTAACTGATTACTTAATAATATATTTACCGTTAAATAGCAATTGGAGCCGACGTGGCCGTCGAGTTCAGAGCACAGTTCAGCACTAGCGTTGACCATCAATGATGATGAAGAAGAACTAGAAGAAGGAGAAGAATCTAACGACATGTTTGGTTAGTATTTAATTTGTATTGATTTGTGAATAATTGTGATATAAATTGTGAAAATAATTTTCTGATATTTTTATATTTCAATCAATCAATCAATAAATCAGATGTTAAGCCAATTGTCTCATTTGATGACTCGTCATCACAGATGTCAAACGCATTAGTATTACGAGAAGATTCGTCTATTGTATTGTCGAGTCCTACCGATCCCAATATGAATGCCGGACCCAGTTCTGCACAAACAGGTATTTACAAATTTTGTTTGTTTGTTAAATTGTTGTTTCTAAACATACAGTATTTTTCCTGTAACTTACCGTAACTATAATAATATTAAAGTATTATTGACACACACACCTCCCTAACCCTCCAACAAGAAAAATCACATATTTAATTGTATTATTCATATTTCAAATTTTATAATTGATTGAAACAATTATTAGCTCTAATTAAGACCACTATATATTTGGTGGACAATTATACTGTATATATGTATATATATGATATTTTGATAGTTTTAAATATATTATTAATTGCTTGATATTTATGTAATTTATAATTTATATATTCATATATAAGAGAGGGAGGGCGGGAGGGATTAGGGGGAGGGTTGGATGTAAATAATTTAGCCGCTCATATAATGAATCAACTAATTGCAACCATATATCATATTATTATTGTGAAACCATTTTATATATATTTAGGAAAGATATGTGTCTGTCATCTCTGTCATCTGACATTCACCGCTTACAGCAGTTTAAGAAGACATATGGCCAGACATTATACAGACCGAGAGAGATATGAATGTGAAATCTGTATGAAATCCTATTCCCGGAAGGATTACCTAAAAGAGCATAAAAAACTAAAGCATGCGATTTCATAACCATATTATTATTACTATTATTTTTGTATATAATATATATATATATAAATTTATAATATAATATTACTGTAGTAATAGATACAGTAAATTAATTAATTATACATTTTTGTTATTATTATTATTATTTGTTTTATTTTTAATTATAAATTAATCAAAGAAATGTCATTTAATCACACTTTAAAAAAAATTCATTATTTATCTATTATCATATATTAATTATTAATTTTTTATTATGTATTTATATTTATATCACCATTAATTGTCATATTTATTGCTCATATTTATTTTATATATTATATATATAAATATATTTAAATATAGTAATTAATAATATAATTGGCCACCGGTTTTTACACTATTATATATATATAGAAAAAAATAATCTAATATATATATATATATATATACGTATATAATAGTAAAACATATTTTTATAATTATAATTAATTATTATTAATATTATTATTAAACTATAATAATTGAATTCCTAAATACAGATCTATGAAATATATATATATATAATTTAATTGATTCAATCGATTATAAAACTATTTATTATTATTCATTTTAATTATCCCCTAAAAACCAAATATAATGTTATTTGAAACGAATTATTACATAACAATAATAAATAAAATAAATGTTTTTTGAATTATAAGAAACAATTGTGTTTTCTCTCTATCTATCTATTTCTCTCTCTCTCTCTCTCTCTCTCTCTCTCTCTCTCTCTCTCTCTCTATTTCATGATTTTATGATCAACTAATAGGTGGTAAAAGACGATCATTGAGATCAATGGGCTATCAATCGATGCCAAACATGAGATACGCCGACAGTCGTAGCGAATGTCCGTTTTGTAACAAAAGGATTGTAAACCTGAGAAGACATATCAATGAAGTACACGTCGGAGTGCTCTTCCAGTGCCAGATCTGTTGCCGAAAGTTTAAGAGAAAAGACAAACTCAACAATCATTTGATCTCTGAGCACAACATCTGATCTTAAATTTTTTATTTTATTTAGTTTTGTTTTTTTTGGTTTTATATTTTATTATTAAAATAATATATGGTATTAACTTTTCAATTATTAATATATATTAATTATTATTATTATCATATCTTTATGAATATTTTTGTTTTGTCATTATTATAAATTTTATTATATAATTTTATTTGAAAATCAATTTGTTTATGTTTGTTTTTAATTAAATACGTTATTTAATCACTATATTTAAAAGAGACTTATTAGTTAAAATAATATATATATCAATATATATATATTATTAAAACTGCCAATTAATTGTTGTTTTTATTGTTGTTGTTTTTAATATTATCATTATTATCATAATAATTGATGTTTTATATTTCACATTGATATATAATGAATAATATATATAAATACAGTATATGATATACAATAATTGTATGTTATTAAATTATAGCTAATATATATATATATATATAATTAATTAACAATTGTCAATTAATATTCAATGATAAAAAATATTATAATATTCATTTATTAAATTATAATACAGTATTTACACTAATTTAATATTTAAAAATATCACTTCATTATTCAGATAAATACGGAAAAATGTTAAACAATGTAATATTATTTGTTGTAAAATGGTTTCAATAAAAAATGAAAATAACTTTTAAACTTATTTAATAAGGAAGTTATTTATTTATTTATTTAATTACTTGATTAATTATTTTTTTATTATTTATATTTTTAGACAAATTTAAAACAATTAATAAAAAAATTAACAAAAAAATATCTATATAAGTTACATGTTATATACAGTATATTATAATAATATATTATTAAATATTTAAGTTTAACTTGGACAATATTTCAATTTTTTTTGTGTAAAATAAACTAGGATTACAGGTAAACATTTTATGTTAATTTATTATATGTATATTTTTGTAAATGTATAGTTAAATTTAATTTGTACTTAATATAAGTTTTTTTTTAAATGACAAGTTAAATAGACAGTTATCAATTAATCATCAAAAAAATTGATAAAAATAAATTACATTTATCAATTATACTGTTTAATAAATACATTAATTTTAACTTTATAAAAAAAATTATAAATTATATTTTATACATCTATAATAATAATTTTTTTTATACAAGTATCATACCGGTAATATATACCGATAAATACAGTATTAATTATCATATTTAATAAATTGTGATAAAAAGTTATATAAATAATTTGTAACAAAAATTTTTTTTACAAATTAATTTTTTATGGCCCATAATAAATCTCATTGATATAAAAACTACTATTAATTTTTTTTACATAATAAAATAACCATGATCGTAATCTATGTGTGTGTAAAATAACAATAAAATGACATGTCATTGAAATATTTTTGTTATGTTATACAACACACACACATACATAACATTGCATAACTGTTTGCATCAATAATTTTGTACAGTTAATGTAATATTTATTTATTTTTTTAGATCAACTATTGCATAAATTAATAATAATAATGATTAATTAATTAATATAACCTTGTAGAAAACAAGTTTAAATATATTATCATAAAACTTATATATATACTGTATATAATTAAGAAAATTATTAAGATTTATTATGTTATAACTTATAATTAAGATATGTTTAATAATTTTTTGTTTGTTAACACTTATACTCTCCCACTAAAATACTACAGTAAATTTTTGTATGATATAAAAGTCTAAATATAGTTTTATTAATTAAAATATTAATAATAAAAATATTTTTATTAATATACTATATATAATATATATATAATTGCTTTGATAAGCGTTTGAAATAAAAGATTGATTTTTAAATCGACAGTTAAATTGCACTCAACATTAAGCTTTAGGGCTTTAATGATAACATTGTTTTATTTTTATTAAACAATATTAAAAACATATTAAATAACTAATAATTTAATAAAACTATCAGTTTTTATATAAGCAATCGCTGACTGTGTGGTACAGTAAATAGCGGTCACATTATAATAATAATTATATAATCAAATAAGAGATTAATATAAAATATAATTATAATAATAATAATAATGTTTTATCGTTAATAACTTACGAGACAATTGCATCTAAATTTGAAGACAACTTTTACCACACAATATCTTCACTGACCGTTGAACAGCAATAATGGGTGATATCGTTGAACAAATCGTCTGTAAGACTAGTGATCTACAAAACAATGAGTTTGTATTTGATTTAATCTGTTTTCTCTTTTTTGGTGATAATAACTAATTGTTTTATTTATTTTTTTAAAAATTTTACGAAACAAAAGGAAACGGGTATTTGATTTGGCAGAAGACGGCGGCAAAGTATTGGTGATCAAACAGGACGACAAGTTTATGGCTATCGGACACAAGTGCAGCCATTATGGGGCACCTCTGGTCAATGGTATGTCATATAAATCATATCTGTTATCATATTGCCGGTCTCTCTCATCACAAAAGTGTTTAATAATAATATTATCTATCTATCCAAACATCCTATCGACAGGTGTATTATGTGGCCATCAGCTATCGTGTCCGTGGCACGCCGCAACTTTCAACATAATTACCGGCGATATTGAAGACTTTCCCGGCTGTGATAGTTTACCCGTACACGAGGTTCGCAACCCATTTTACTATCCATTCAATTGATCCGATGGTATCTTAACGACTTTGTTTATTTGATGTTTATGTAGGTCATTGTTAAAGGTGATAATGTGATGGTCAGAGCCAAGAAAGCCGATCTGAAACAAAGTTTTCGTGTCAAGTCGTTAAGCCCTAAAAATGACAATAATGTTTTGACATTTGTGATCGTCGGCGGCGGTAAGTGTCTATTGAATTGGTATTTAACAGTTTCTAAAGATTTAATTGTTGATATAATAATTTCTGTCATTTGATAATTATCTCCGACATCCCATCCCTTGTGTGGTAGGACCGGCCGGTTTGCAATGCGCCGAAACACTGAGACAGGAAGGCTTTACCGGCAGAGTTGTCTTGATCTCCAGTGAGGACAGCTATCCATATGATAGGACCAAATTGAGTAAAGTATGAAATGATAATAATAATGTTAATTATTATTTGGTGTTTTCTACTAAAAAAAATTTATAATAAATTAAATGATTTTTGTTTTGTTTTTTTTTAATTGGAAAAGACTTTAACATCTAAAGTCAAAGACTTGCTTCTCCGGTCTGAAGACTTCTTAAACAAAGCAAATATCGAAGTGATTTTGAATGCAACGGTTGAGAAGTTGAACACCAAAGAGAAATCGATTCAATTAGATAATGGATCAGTTGTTAACTTTGACAGAATATTCTTGGGTACCGGTGTTAGGTATGGACTAAAAATCTAATAAATATAATAATAATAAGGAATTTGTTGTTTTTTTTATAAAAAAATGATAATTAATAATATTATGAATAAAAAAATTATAGACCAAAAACATATGACGCGAAGGGAAACAATTTGAAAAACATTTGCTATCTTCGGACTCATTTGGACGCCAACTTTATTGCCGAAAATGGCCCCAATAAGGATGTAGTGATTATTGGCACTTCTTTTATCGGTAATTAGCTAATAATTACCAGAACTTTATTTTTTATAAAAAATAATGTTATACATGTATAAAATGGGGTCTAAATTATTATATAATACTGTTGTATATAAGGTATGGAAGTGGCAGCCTATCTCAATGGCAAAGCAAAATCGTTGTCAATAATCGGTAAAAGCAAATATCCGTTTGCCTTGACATTAGGCCAACAAATTGGTGAACAATTTCGCAAACTATACGAATCAAAGGGCATAAAATTCTACACAGAATGCGGTGTCAAAGAGTTCTGTGGCGATAACGACAACCAACTGAAGACTATTATTCTTACCAACGATGAAGTTCTTAACGCAGATCTTTGTGTGATTGGAATTGGTTAGAGATTTGTTGACAAAAAAAATAATTAATTAATTTGAATAACTTCTGTATACAACAGGTGGTGAACCAAATACCGATTATCTGAAGGGAACGGACATCAAAATGGATAAGTCGTATATATTGGTCGACAAAAATTTTGAAACTTCCGAAAAGAATGTGTTCGCCGGCGGCGATGTTGTTCGCTATGAGCTGTCAATTGTTAACCAAAGTATTGTCAATGTTGGCCACTGGCAGACTGCACAATCTCACGGTTTGTTTGCCCCGCAAAAAAACAAACAATTTACCATTCAGTACATAAATTTATATCAATGACCTGTTAATCATTAATAGGTAAGAGCGCAGCACTCAGTATGTTAGTCAAGACATCGGATCTAAAATCGGTACCATTTTTCTGGTCAATGATGTTCGGCAAAGGACTACGATTTGCAGGTTTTTTATATTCAATTTGCAAAAGTTTATAATAAAATATTGTTATTATTATTGAAGGAAATAACGAGGGATTCAAAGATATCATAATAGACGGCAATGTTGAAGAGTTTAAGTTTATTGCCTATTATATTGATAATGCCGAAAATGTGGTCGCAGTGGCCACAATAGCCAACGACCCGATAGCCACTTTGTTTACAGCTTTCCTTAGAAGTGGAAAGACATTGACGGCTAAGGAAATAAAGTATAAATTTTTTTTATTTTGTGTCACAAATTAAAAAATGTTATAATTATATAATTATTATTATCTATCGGAATAGATCTGATCCGAAAGCGTGGATCAAGTCGATGAGTGGACAACCAAAATAATATGATGATTATTATTAGTGTTATTATTACCGATACTACCGTAGAAATAATCATATGACAACATTATTATTTTTTTTTAAATTGATCACTAATTCACAATAAATTTTTTTTGATAGCATTTTAATTTACTAATATGATATATATATATAAAGATTTATATGATTTATAATATTATATACTGTTTAGGAAATAAAATAATTATATATATAATAAATGACTAATCAATCAATCAATCAATCAATGGGTCTATCGGTTAAATCTAAAAAATCTATTCTTCGATCTCAAAACTTCTGGAGTAATCAATCTTCTGGAGATAATCGGCCGCATAGTACTGTTTGAGTGGTCTCTCTATTGGTCGCCTAAGAAAATCGTCCCAATACTGTGGCCGCTTGCGACCGATTGAGGCCAAGTATGCGTTTTCTTGTTGCTGGCGACGGCGGCGGTCAATCAAAACAAAGTGGACAGTTAATTATCGGGAGTTATATGATAGTAGTTACCGTAATTGACGGCATCGTATATAATCGCATACCTCAGTGACGTACGGTTTGCTCAGGTATTTAATCACTTGTTCCTCGTGTTTCATCTGTATGAACAACGATAACTTCTTGCCTAACGTCACTTTCGGTACATACCGGTGCTTACTGTGTAATGTATGGCCATCAGTAAAAAGTGGACACAAAAAGTTAATTAATTAAATTAATAATACAATTGAATCAAATTGTCAAACACATACCCGGTCTGTGCATTTCCCGGAAATTTCGGTATCGGACCGACATATTCGGGTCTGAATGACCGCAACAGTAATGTCAATCGCATGGTGTGTATGTGTGTGTGTGTGTTGTCCGCCGATTGATTGATTGGTCACAAACTTGAAACCGACGATTCAATTGACGGCTAATTTATTAAATAATAAACACAACAAACAAATGTGTGAATACAGTGATTGGTATATCAATGATGACAAACATTATGTTATATAATAACTTTATTTTTGTTAAAAAAAATGTTATTTTATTATAAATTTTTGTTTTGATTTTTATGTTTGTTTAACTAAATTTGCTAAAAAACCAATTGTTTAATTGTGTTTATTATATATATATATTTTAATTAATTAATTAATATATAATTTTATTTAAATACAATTTTTTTTGATAATATATTAAAACTGTGTATTTTTTGATGCGTTATTATTGCTGCGAAAAAAAGTTGTTTATAAATTGGGCGCAAATAATGAAAAACAAAACAAACAATTGAATTGAATGACAATAATTGCAACACATTTTGCAATCACAACAACAAAAACATTGCTATTGACTGTCAGTCTCTCTCTGTAATTGTCGGATCAATTGTCGGATGTGATTGTGTGGACAATAAGTGGTGACAACAAAATGAAATGCAAAATAGTTGGCCAAAATCTCAGAGGTAATCAGTCAGTCATCACTGATCACTAAATTGATTCATGTCTTGAAAACCTTTTTTTAAAAAAAAATTATTTTTTGTTTTGTTGTAAAGTCTTCTCCAAAGCCGTCCGTCTCTTCTGTCGTCTATCGGATGAAGTGCTCATCTGTGTGGACACAAATTCAGTCCGTATTATTAAATAAATATCATATATATATGTTTTTTATTGTCTAAACTGATCCAAACCTATCAATTTATTTGACGTATACGTTATATGCTATCGTTTCAGATGAGACTTCAGTGCATCAATAGTCTGAAGACTGGTTTCATTGAATTACATTTCGAGAGATCATTCTTCGCCACATTTGAGTCCAATTGCGAAACCAAATGCAAACTATTTCTCAAAGTATTTGTCGTTAAAAATATATGATATTTTTTTGTCACAATTATGATAATCACTTTTTTTGTTGATGATATTTCAATTGATGACAATCTTGTTTTTATACAGTCAATGATGTTGGTCTTCCGTGTCGTCAATATAGACAAAAGCGTCGACAGCTGTACTATAATAATGGATGAGTCGATGCCAAGAGTAGTATTTGAGATGAAGTGTCCAAATGGTAAGCATTTGAGTGATGGAAATAATGACAAATAATTAAATATTAATCAATTGATTCAAACACACACTTACTTAGCCATCACTCGTGAATACTTTGTGCCATACATGGAGTCTACGGTTTTGCACTACAATTCACGAATAGCAACACCTGATCCCACATTCAAAGTACAATCCAAGTAATTATTATTATTATTTTTCTAGCATTTTGTTTTATGATATAATAATATCATTGTATTAATCTATTTTACCAATGAATTAAAAAAAAAGACAATTATCTGAATGTTTGCACAACTTTTCCAACGATACCAAAGACATAACACTGTGGTTGACATCACAACAGATCTTATTCAAGAATTATTACGACGACGTCGATGAGCACAGTATGCATACAAATATGTCTTAAAAAATTTTGTTGTTTTAATCAATTGGATTTAATGTATAAATACTTAACTATAATCCATATATTTTTAAAATAGGTTTAATGACATCATTTGCCTACAGTGCCCGAGAGTTTCATAACTATAATTTTATCGAAGAAATTACCGTCACTTTTGATGTCAAAGATCTGAAGGCATTCATTGAATTTACATTATTTCGCGACCAACGTATCGATTGTTACTTTGAGGCGACCGGAAAGTATGTATTTATAAATATTATCCGACATTTTTTTGTATTGGTTTTTTTGACAAATTATTTATTATTTTTATTGAAGACCAATTGAATTCCGTACGCATTCTGATAACTACTTTTCGGCAAAACTAATACTGGCCACACACGACTTTCCCGAAAGCCAATGTCCTAACCCGCCAACACCGGCACTGAATCAGACATCAAATCAAAGTTTTAATTTAAGGTATTTGAATTGAATGATATTTTTTTTTTAATTGTATAAAGTGTTTGATGTCATATACTGTAATTCAAATGCTTTTTTTTGTTGTTTTTGTAAAAAGTTTGTCCAATCGGAACAATAATCAGTCGACAACAGTTGTTGGCAACAATACAAACACTATCGCTAGTCATCAAACAGCAACTGATAGTAACGATCATAATAATAGTGAAACAATCAATAGTAATAGTGGTGTCAATAATGATCAACAAATTATAAACACTGGTGATGATGATGATGACGATGAAAACGGATTTGATGAAAATGATGACGATGTTATTGAACAATTGATTAGCCAATTGGAATCGGTTACCCAATCGGGTGAAGCATTTAACTTATCGGGTGACGCACTTCGACAGGTATTGCCAGTAGTAGTAGTAGTAGTAGTATATCTGATTGATATGTAATTAATGTGATTATAAAATTATTTTGTGATTAATTATTATTATTATTTAGTATCATAAAAGTGTAATCCATCCACAACTCGATGACGACGAGTGCACTCAATCGACAACTCAATGGGATGTCTTAGTTTCAGAATCAGAAGATGAATGTTAAAACAAATAAACAATTTGTTTCTTAAATAAACAGTAATTATGATTAACTAGTATTTTAAATATATATATATAATTTTCTTACGGATTATTTAACATTAAATAACATTAAATTGTTTGATTTAATAACTTTTATTTATGTAATTATTTATTTTTTATAAAAATAAACCGTAATCTGAATAATTAATTGATTAATATAATTCATTGTAAACATTTCTTAATTATTATTGTCATTATTATCTAAAAAGTTTTATATTTTTATTATTTGATCATAAATTTAAATAAATAAATTTTATTATAATAGTTGACATATTATAATACTTTAACCTAACATTATTAGCTAAAAAATAGTGAAAAATTAGTGATAATAATTGATAATTAAATTTTTTAACAAAATTTTTTAATAAATAAAATAAAATAATAATTTTACATAATATGTTTTAACATAATAAGCGGCACAAACTACCGGCTATTAAATTACAATAAATATTGTAAATTATTATTTAAAGAGAGAGAGAGAGATAGTATGTGCGCATAGATAGCACGTGTGTTATTGAATGGTATTTATATTAATGTATAGAAAATGTAATGTATTTTGAATGACAATAATATTACTGTATATTAATGATGACATGTGTTGTATATATTTAACGTAAATAAACGTAATGTAAATGTAATTTAAAGTCCAAATCATATGATAATAATTATCATATAATTTAGTATTTTGACCACAAATCTGATGCAAACAAAGGAGTAGTAATAGACTTGTATTACTACTACTACTACTACTTGACAGGACTTTCAATGATTAACGACGCCTCCAGACTCATGGACGACAACACCGACGATATCGATGATAATTTTATTGATGACACTCCCGATGACGGTAATTGTTAACACATTTTTTGTTTGTTTGTTAATTGATGTCATAATGTTTTTGTTGTTTGAAAACGAAACAGATATCGAAATCATCGAAAGTGAAGACATCGATGGTCTGAATTCTAGCGACGAAGAGGCCCACAATGACAATGAAGAAGCGACAGCTGTTGTCGACGAGTCGGTCAACAGCTTTGCTGGACATCAGAAAGCGGTTCTCTGTTGTGATCTGAGCAGTGATAACGCCTACGTTGTCAGCGGTGGCGAAGACGATATGGCGTTTGTTTGGCGAACTCAAGACATGTCTGTTGTGTTCGACGTCAACGGCCATAAAGATTCAGTAGTTTGTGTCGAATTTAATGCCAATAACTCGCTGGTGGCCACCGCCGACATGAGCGGACTGATACAAGTGTACGACATGACTGGCGCCAAACTGTTTGACTTCGAAGTCGACGAAATCAATTGGATGTTATGGCATCCGATGGCAAACAATATACTGTTGGCCGGAACATCGGCCGGCGATGCCTGGATGTGGAAACTAGTGACCACATCGTTGACATTTGAATGCAAAACATTTCAATCGTTCGGCAAATCTAACGTTACGGCCAAATGTTTGCCCGACGGCAAGCGTATTGTTATGGGTTATGATGACGGTGTGGTCAGAATTTGGGACCTGAAGAATGTTAATGTTATTCATGCCATCAGCGGTTAGTTTTTATTTATTTATTTTTTAAAAAGAAATTATTTCATTTAAATTATCCTATTATTGAACCATTTGTTTCTAGATTTAACGGCACATACGGCCACCATTACATCGTTAGATTGTATGCCAGACAATATCCTAATTGCGTCGGCATCTGTCGACTCGACAGCCAAATTGATAAACAGTCAAACGGGTAAAGTTGTGGCCACTTTTCAGTGCGGCGCCGACGTCGCCCCCGTTGCCGATGCTGCCGAAGATACTGAAGAACTAGTTGATTCCGTTGAATGTGTACGACTAAACTCTTCCCTATCGGTATTGGCCACCGGCACTGTCGAAGGATCCATCGATATATGGGATATTTCAACACAAATTAAACGACACTCTTGTAAACACAGTTCCGGTGTATCGAAACTCTCGTGGGATACCAATAGTCCCCATATCTTATATACGGCCGGTTTAGATGGAATTATCAATATATACGATGGCCGAAGTGGCCAACTTGTTGGCAATAAAAAAGGACATTTGGATCAGATATTGGATATGAAAATATCGAAAGATTCGACAATAGCTGTTACCGCTTCCGAAGATAATTGTTGTAAAATTTTTTCTCTGCCTTAAGATTCTTGTTTATCACTATTTTTCTATTATTATTAAATATAAATAAATTAAATTTATATTTATTCCCAATTTTTGAATCATATTTTTTGTTTGTATAGAAAATTTATATCAAATATAAATACAGCTAAAATCATATGATTATCATATGATTTATTGCTCATTTTAATTACCACGGTAATTTATTTATATATACATTGTATATGAATTATGTTAACAGGTAAATATTATAAGTTTTATACATTATCACATTATTATAGAAAAAATAATATGCTTATCATTATAGATTTTAAAGATATATTGAAAATAATAATTTACAATAAGTTTTAATTATTACATTAACTGTGATATATATAAAAAGTAAATCGTATTTATATAAATTAAGCAAAATAATTAAAATATTAAAAAATATTAACGTGATGAACAGTGTTATCTAAAAAATCAAAAATAATTAAACAAATATAAAAATATCTAAAATTTTATTGTAATTTTTTTTAGTTTTCACTAATATTTTTTCATTAACTTTAGTATTTTTATTACTTGCGTTTTTCAAATAACTTTTATATCTAATAAAGTCTAATTAATTTTTTTTCTAAATTACCGTAAGACAATTTTTTAAAATTATTTTATATTTTTTCTATATTGATTCAAATAAGTTTAGATTTTGTTATATTTATTATCAAACATGTATTGAATATTTAAATAATTTAGCCAGCATACTTTATATAATATTACATTATTCTTAATATTTTTTTTTAAAAATGAATTTCAAAAATTTAAATTTGTATCAAAATTTGCTAAATATTAATAATTTTCAAATATATAAATATTTCAATCCATTTGATTATTTTATTTTTATGTTATTATTAAAAATGTCAAAATGGCATATAAAATATTTAATAGAATTTTAAAAAAATATTATATATTATTATATTCAATATTTTTTGTTAAGGTATCCAAACATGTTATATAAAGTATATAAATATTAATATTAATCTTATTATTATTATTATTATTGTGTAATATACAAATATTTTTTTATTATTATCTATTTTATTATTAAACGAGTAAATAAGTTATTTATTTTGAATCAAATTGATAATACATATATGGAAAGCAAAGGTAAATGTGGTTATCATAAAATATAATAATAATAATATAAAATATTTTATTAAAAAAAAAGAAGAAATATATTTACAAAATAATATAACTTAATATACAGTAATATATTTATATAGATATGACTGTATTATTGTATGACTTTTAATAAAAACCACTATAATAATATTTGAATAAAAGATATCTTTTAGTATTAGTATTAGTATTATTATATAATATATACAGTACTGTATTATACTATGGATGTATAATTTATATACATTACTCTATATGTTTTTCTTATACATTACTTGACATAAGTTTATATAAAACAAATTTGTTTTTCTATAGTTATTTATTCTGTATATACAAGAAAAAAAACTTTATATTGTGCTTATAATTTACATTGGGTTTTGTAAACAAGTAATTGGATTTTTTTTGTCTGTATTTATATTCAGTATGATATTTGTTGAATTAAATAAATATTTTAATATATACACAAAGTGTGTAATACAATATGTGATTATCTTATATTATATATTTAATAAAATGTTTAATAATTTTAGACATTAATACAGTAATAAGTAATAATAATAATAACAATAATACAATATTTGTAAACCATGATTAAATTTTTATATGTTAAAACGATATTATATAAAAACTTAATAAATATACATATTTTGGCGAAATTTATAATCATCAAATAAATTATAAATAATTAATATGATAATTTTCATATTAATTATTTTGGAAAATATTAAAATAAAATAAAAATATAAAATTTAATGGAAAATTTTATTTAATTTAATATTATATATAATATATATTTCTGAATATATTTTAGTTTATTAACCTCGATATCCATTATAAATTGTAAATTATTAATTACCATAATTTATGAACCATTAAAATCAATAAATTTTCTAAACATTCTATGAAATATTAATTTATGATATTATTATATAATTAATTTGAATTTAATTTAAATCAAAAAATTTAATGGATTTTGATTTCAATGGGAGAAAAATTTAATACATTTTTAATGATTATGTCTATAGACATATCTATAAGGCGTAGGTATAAACAATTGATAGTACTGTATATGAGATTACCATTAATTAAAATTTATACGAACAACAAGTTTGATAAAATCAATTTTTATAAAAAAAAAATAGACGTAAACTTTGAATATATATATATATACTTCAAGTTTATGCCATAAACAAAGTTAATTTGTATTATTTTTTTAAATTTTATATTATATTATATAAAATATTAAAAAATAAAAATAATTTAATTTAACTTTGTTTATGGTATAAACCTTATAGATTACAGTATAATACAATAACATTAATAATATTGAAAAGTATATACAGTACTATATTAGCCTACAGTTACTATTTGTTTATATTGTATTATAATTCATTAGTAAACTATATATAAAAAATAATAGTTTTAATCTTCCACTCAAATCGTTAAAATGTTAATCTCTTGTTGATTGTCTAAAAAAAACTAAAAAAAAATTACTACAGTTAATATAATACTATATATTTAATTAAAAAATATAATCTAGCTAATTTCAATTATATAAAAAGTATAGTAAAAATAATTTAATATTTATAGTTATATTAGTAGTCAATTAGTAATTATAGTAAATAGAGAAAGAGAGAGAGAGAGAGAGAGAGAGAGAGAGAGAGAGAGAGAGAGATCTTAATTACTAATTAAATTAAGCAAAAGAAAAACATCAAAAACATAAACTTGAAATTAATTCAAAGTTGATAAAAAATCTCAACTCATTTTGATACTAACTAATTTTAATACTAAAATTATAGTCAAATAAAACTAAAACCAAATAAAAAAAATTAAATAAATAATAACCCAAATTAGGAGTCAAGTTAATTGAAAGTCACATAAAAAATTAATAACATTTAATCACAAACACACACTTATATATTATATATATATCTGATACAAACCTGATATCTCCCTATGATTTTATCAATAAACAAACAATTATTTAATATTAGACAGAAAAAAGTAGATAATTTTTTTTGTTGGTTACTTTAGTGATATATATGTATTATCAGCAAAAAACTAATATATTAAAAAAAACCCAAATAGGTATATGCATAATGAGAAGGAGGGTGTAAAGTACAATACAGTAACAGAAAAAAGATACTTTAAATATCAAATGTCATCATATCCTATGTGTTGATGTTTGTTAAAAAAACGAGGTTAATGTGTGTGTGTAATACAACTAAAATACTTGTATATATACAATACTATAGTTTTATTTTAGAGGTAACTCCTATGCAATCAATATAATGGTCACAAAACCAAAAATAAAATACTGTCCACACAAAAAAATAATCTGTTTTTTTTGTTTTGTTTAAGTCTAGATTATTTGAGAAAATTGGACTAGTATGTTTATCATGCGTAACTATGTAATAAATTATTAGTAAGTTTTACTTTTTTTTGTTGTTGTTGTTGGTGTTATAATTTATTTGGATAAAATTTTTTAAAAAATAAATAAAATTGTATTATTATTATTTATAAAAAACATATATTATTATATACTATATAAATTATTATAAATTTATGCAAATAATAATAATAATAATATGACTTATGTATACACACAATAGATTTATGAGATGAACATATATGCACGTATATAATCTATAAATAGGCATAAATTATTTATCTATATATACTGTATATTCTAGTTTTTTTTCTATTTGATGTATTCAAACATACAATATGAATATGGGTTAACCACATAAATAATTAAACATACTTTACCAACAAAATCATAGCCAAAATAATTTTTTTTATTAAATGAACACAAAATTAATTTTTATAATATACATAAATATATAGTATTTACATATTTTAATAATTGTAAATTTAATATTGAATAGTTTTAATATCTAATAAAGTTCACTTATATTAAACAAGAATATTTAATAATAATAATAATAATAATAATAATAATAATAATAATAATAATAATAATAATAATAATAATAATAATAATAATAATAATAATAATAATAATAATAATAATAATAATAATAATAATAATAATAATAATAATAATAATAATAATAATAATAATAATAATAATAATAATAATAATAATAATAATAATAATATGAAATGGACACATGAGATGAATACCTTGATAATGCGCGAATACTACAGATCAACTCGACTCGAAACAAATATGACTGATTACAGAAACCAAATATACTTAGCATTCAAACAAAAATATCCAGAACTAAATGTAACGGAACAAAGGATTGCAGACCAACGGCGATTCTTAGCAAAGAATAATAAAATATCCCCGATTGAATTACAAGAAATCAAACAACAAGTGGCACATGAACTATCATTAAATGAAACAACTGAATTAAATACCACAGTAGAAGTAGTGCCAGAAATAGAAGAGACACCTACAACAACAGATAACAGAATCGATACAAATGATGAAATAAAGAGAATAACAGCAGAAAATGAACTAAAAACATCTTTAGAGCAATATAAAGACTTTGAAATAGAATTCAGACCTAAGCTACCAAAAATAAGAAGTGGCGTTAAAACAAGGTCTACAATAATAACAATTAATGATATACTTAAAAATTACATTGAAGATAATATGTCGTTGAGCGCGATTAATACAATAACGTATTGTGCAGCAGTAGCAGTATCGAGACTATTAGGTTACAAAATAGAACGCATGTCAACAACAAAACAAAATCATGAAAATGTGATACCTAAATGGCAAAAGCGAATAGAGACACGTATAGAAGGGAAAAGACAAGTAATTGGAAGAATAACGCAAGTGTTAAATGGAAAAAAATCAAAAAGACTTAACCAATCATTGAAAGATATATACAGATTA